CGTGCCCAGAGACATGCCTCTAAATATCTTTGTCAAGATAATCCAGTTCATTGCTCAGGTGTGTGAAATCCATGAACGTATTTTAATGAAAAATGTTTTTGTCTTTTTCTGACTTTTCGTGCTCAAGGATGAGGTACATTTTTTCATCTAATGGCTTCTTTAGAGACTGACGTTTTGAATTTTGACTGTACAGTGTTTTTGAAAACAGATGGAACAACTTTTAGCAAAACAACAGAACCACACCTTTGGTTTCATGACTAAATAATCTGATTACATTAAAACAGATTGATTTAAACTTAATAATGTATCATGTAGTGATGTTTGTGGTATGTTTCATTCCTGTATAAGATGGAGATGCTGCCTCAGCTGTGACAACTTGTATTATACTGTTTGTCCTCTCTACAGGAGAGACTGGACTTTGCAATGAAGGAGATTATATTTGACCTGCTGAGTGTTGGAAAACCTGCCAAAGCTTTTAGTCTTAACCCAGAGGTAAAATAAAACACAAACTTCAGAAGAATGTTTTTGATTTATAGTCACCTCGTCTGGTGACTTGCACTTCCAACATCATACATCACAGCCTATAACAGTGCTTTTCTTTCTTTTTCCAGCGTATGAACATAGGCTTGCGGGCCTTTCTGGTGATAGCAGATGCTCTGCAGCAGAAGGATGGCGAGCCCCCCATGCCCAACACAGGAGCGACGTTGCCGTCTGGAAACTCCCTGAAAAAGAAGAAAACCTATCTCAGCAAAACGCTTACAGAAGAGGAGGCCAAACTGATAGGTCTGAATCTGTTGGCTTTTAAAAGTAGAGTCATATTACTGAAGTTTCTCAACTCTGAACTCTTGTTCTGTCTCTGTCCACACAGGCATGTCTCTGTACTACTCCCAGGTGAGAAAAGCTCTGGACAACATCCTCAGACATTTGGACAAGGAGGTTGGACGATGCATGATGCTCACCAGTGCACAGATGCTCAACAAAGAGCCAGAGGACATGATCACGTACGTGACTGAACCTGAATTCATGTCAGCAAATTATTGTTGATTCTATTGTGGTATATTCTCATATGATCATGTCTTTGACAGTGGCGAAAGAAAGCCTAAAATTGACCTGTTCCGAACATGTGTTGCTGCTATTCCTCGGATCCTTCCTGACGGCATGTCCAAACCTGAGCTCATTGATCTGCTCTCACGGTGAGTTTTTCACTACGCAGAGTGAAACCTTACATGCTCATGCTGACAGAACTAAATTCCAACTTTCCCCAGAACACAGTTGTGCAAATACACAATTGCTGCTCAGGAGAGTCAATAATTTGCCTGTATCAACTTTAATAGCAGTTAGCACAGACGAGTCTCATGTCATCTGTCCACGTCTACAGCTGTTGTCATCTACTAATCCTTTTTTTACCTCCCCCAGACTGACGGTTCACATGGATGATGAGCTGCGTCTTATTTCCCAGAACTCTCTACAAAGTCTGTTACTGGATTTCTCAGACTGGAGGGAGGACGTCCTCTTTGGTTACACACATTTCCTTCTCCGTGAGGTAAAACTGAGTTGTCTCAGACTTGTCAGTTTGATTTTCAACAGTTTTTGTTTTGACTACATAAAAGTCCAGGTGATCCTGGCTAGTCTGATTTTAAAACTTGTAATTTTGCTTGGCTAGACCTTTTTAACAATCTTTTGAAACCACTAATTTACTCGATGCTTATTTTACTTGCACTTAGCAAGCACTCAGCAATGCTAATGACATAAATTATTTAATAATTAGATATAATGCAGTTATGATATGATTGGATAGCAAAGAAGCAGCAATTATGCAACGCAGGAAGTTTGAAAGGCTGAGCTTTGCAACAGAATAATTTTAAGTGATTAGTCGGAAAATGTTTTAAACCACTTATTCAAATGCAATCGAACATTAATGGATGTTGTAGATCTAGTCTACGGCTTTTGCAAACATCTAATCGCAAAAAGCCCTTTACAGGAAATTGTTCTATAGAATGTTTTTTCTATGATCAGGTTTCCATCAAGTTAAATATACAAATTTTTGTAGCACTGGCTTTTCACTAACATGCAAAGCCATTTCTTCTGTATCACAGTGATGAAAGTCATAGAAACGTTGAAACTAGTTTTAACTTAAATGGCTCTGACATGGCACTGTTTTCCTTTTTCTAATTGCTCTAGGTGCAGGACACCCATCAGGGTCTGCAGGATGCATCTGTGAAGCTCCTCCTCCAGCTCCTTACTCAGTGGAGGTTAGCTCTCCAGCTCCAGGGGAAAATGCGAGGTGGAGTTGAGGTTTGTTCATTTTACAACTTGTCCCGTTTCATCGGCCATAACATTTCTACATTCAATTAGTATATTTCAAACTATTGTGTGGTTATTTTACTCTCCCATCTCTTTCTGTTTTTCCTTTAACTCTAACTTTCTTTTCAACCTCCATCAGGCAAGCCCCAGGCTGCCAGAGCGAAGCCCTCATTGTTCAGTGCTGCATGCAGTTGAAGGCCTAGCTCTGCTGCTGCTGTGCTCGTGTCAGATCAGCACCAGAAAGCTGGCCGTCGGCGTGTTGCGAGAAATACGCATTCTCTTCACAGCTCTGGGCCACGCTGAGGTAAGAGAAAGGACAATGAAGTAGCAGCAGCAGAGGCATGCGATTGTGGGTGTGATAAGAGACCTCCACGTGCTGCCTGTGAGCTCTGTCTCACAGTGTGACGCAGATTTAAAAATAAACTGATTCCTAAAATGCTTCTCCCTCCAGGATGATGACAAGCCCATGATAGAGGTCATGGACCAGCTGAGCCCTTCTGTGATGGACAGCTTTGTTCATGTGGCTCACTCTGACTCAGTGAGTGCCTCTGTTTTATATGGGCTGTGCATTGCTACAACCAATGAATTATTTACATCACAGTCTTCACTCTTCGTTGCTGTGGCTGTTGTGTATCATTTTGAACTCTTTGTCTCTCCTTTAGTCTCTGCCGCTGAGTCATCATGTTGACCTACAGTGGCTGGTTGAATGGTCAGCCCGACTGGTGAGCAGTTCCTACGACGTGAAGAGTCCGAGCCACGTCTGGATTTTTGCCCAGTGCTTGAAAGACCCCTGGGTTCTCTGTCTGCACATCTTTCTACGACAGGAGCATCTGCCTAAACACTGCTCCATCGCTCTGGGATACGCCTGGCCTTACGCCTTCACACGGCTACAGCTCCTGCTGCCACTCATTGACCCCAAGTAATAAGGACACACTTCCTATTGGTTTCACTGCACTGTCACTTATCATCAAGCTGTGTTTTTGAACAAGCAAAAAACTCACCAACTGCTATTTATAGTTTGGACACTTCAGTTTTGCTGTGTATGACATTTGATCGCCTTCTTCATCAACCACTTGACTCTTTCCATTTTATTTTATGACCTCCTTTTTGCAGCAGCCCAGTTAATGCCAAGAAAACCAGCACAGCAGGCTCCAGTGACAGTTACATCTCCCTGTGGAGAAACTACTTGATCCTGTGTCTGGGTGTAGCCAAGCCAAGTATCATGTCCCCTGGTCACCTCAGAGCATCCACACCAGAGATCACAGCTACCACACCCGACGGCAGCGTTACCTACGACAATAAGGTGTGTAAAAAAAATGCTAACCACACAGGAAATATGAAAAGACTCAACATGTTTTGAATAAGATCCTAGGTCTGCGTTTTTCCATGTAAGTGATGATCTCATTTTTTCCCACTCAGGTGATTGGCACTCCTTCAGTAGCCTGGCTGTTGAAACAGCTCGTTCCACTGATGAGGGCAGAGAGTCTGGAGATCACCGAGGCCCTAGTGCTGGGATTTGGTTGCACAAATGCTCTGGTCTTCAGGTACATTCATAAATATATAAATGTATCAAATGTCTTTTTGAACATAAATAATTGGTTTGTGTTCACTGTTACGGTAATAAACTTATAATAGATAAACACACGCATTCCAAAAGAAACAGATTTGATTTGCTGAAGATTACCAGATGAAAAAAAACATGGCAGGACAGATTTGTCGTTGTCAGTTATCAGTTGACTTTCTTCTTATCTCTTTGTAAAGTCTGTACGTAACTGGAACTGGAATTTGTTCTCTGACGTTGGCAGAAAAAAATTCCATCTTTGGTTAACAAGGGAATTCCAAGACACATGTACCACACTCTTTTCACAGTACAATGGTTGCTTTGTCAAAAAGAAGTTTGTCCAGTTGAAAAAAGAAATCTATTTTTATCATGAGTTGTTGTCCATAAGGGCGGACCCTGTTTTCAGAGAGATTAAAGTCTATCTAGGAAAATAAGTTCCTTACCTCATTCTAGGATTAGTGGACTTAGAATTTGTGACATGTGGGTCTCACTTGATAGATGTCTGTCATAAATCAATCTGCTCTCTTAGTTCAGAGCATCTGCTGTGCAATGAAAGGAAAAAGTATTCAGGAACTCTGCAGTGAGACGTTCAATTGATCCTTACCCTGTCTGACCTGTGTGTGTCTACAGGGAGCTTGTCGAAGAACTCCATCCTTTGATGAAGGAGGCACTGGAACGAAGGCCAGAGGTAAAACACACACACGCCCACAGACTGAGCATGAGAGGAACTTAGTGACTATTGATCTTAGATAGGAAAGTCTCTTCTCGCTTTAATACAATAATATTAAAGCTGTAGGAGACTGGTTTATAAAAGAAACTGACTCTAATGCTAAAGAAATGACTTTCCTAACAAGATTTGTTATCCAAGTATAAACACAACTACACACCATATGTGTACTATCATATTTTTAATCACCAGCTCTTAGAAAGAGTTCAACTTTGTTCCTGAATGTAAATGAAATAATGTGAAACATTTCTCCTCCAGAATAAGAAACGCAGAGAAAGGAGAGATCTTCTCAGGCTGCAGCTGCTGAGGATCTTTGAACTGTTGGCCAATGCAGGAGTTATCAGTGACAGGTACTGAGGCAGATTCAATCTAATGTGTATTTTATTCATAGACAATTGCTGAACATTAAAGATAGTTTGCATCTTAAAATATTTTTTGTCTATACATATGCAAAAATGCAATGTTTTATTATGAAAGATGGCAGCTGTGCAAATTAAAAACTCCCTTTCCTTTTCTGCTCAGTACCAATGGAGCACTAGAGCGCGACTCCCTGGCACTCGGGGCTTTGTTTCTGGAATATGTGGATCTAACGCGGATGCTTCTGGAAGCTGAGAATGAAAAAGAACTTGACATCCTGAAGGACATCAGGGCTCATTTCAGTGCAATGGTAGCCAACCTCATCCAGTGTGTTCCTGGTAATGAAACATTTCTTATATTCTATTGTGTCATTGTTTACACTGTAGGGGTCCTGAACTCAGATGACCTAAGTGTCCATTAACAATCAGTGGAGAAAGGTAAAAGAAGCTGTTTAGAATTGTATTTCCAAACTGGCAGCAGGTTTGGTTAACCTTAGATTAGACCTTTCCTTTCACATTGATATTTAAAATACAAATTTACCCTTTTTTTTAGTTAGTATTAGCTTCACATCTCAACAATAATCGGTCTGTATTAACTACAAAAACATGCTAGCTATATGGCATGGCAATGAATGACAAGTTACCTGTGTTAACTATTGTTAGCTATTGCTAGTGGCAAAAGGGAGGTAAGAGATCTTTTGAGATCATTTGAGGGACTCTACTGGTTTAGTCTACTGATAGACACACTGGTTGTGTATGTAGCTCTGCATTAAGCATAAGAAAATTCAATGTCAGTCTATATATGTGCTACATTTTTTTATTTAAGGTCATATCCTATTTGACCTCTCTGTTCTCTCTCTTTTTTTTTCTTCTTGCCCACACTTCTTTGCAGTCCACCACAGACGCTTCCTGTTCCCCCAACAGTCTCTGAGGCATCATCTCTTCATCCTCTTCAGCCAATGGGCCGGACCCTTCAGTGTCATGTTTACTCCCCTTGATCGTTACAGTGACCGCAACCATCAGATCACTCGCTACCAGTATTGTGCTCTTAAGGTAGAAGTGCTACACAGCACATATGTCCTTTAGCGTTGTGTGTATAGAGCCGTCAGCTGAAAAAGATCTTTCTTCTAATTCTAGGCCATGTCAGCAGTTCTCTGTTGTGGTCCAGTGTTTGACAACGTGGGTCTCTCCACTGATGGTTATCTCTACAAGTGGCTTGATAACATCTTGGCCTGCCATGACCTGAGGGTATGTCAACTCCTACACCAACTGTACCATAATAAGACGTTTTCTTAATCTAATTTAGTATTTGTCACAAATACCAAACAGTGGAATTTTCTTCAAATGTGTTTTATTTAGGTCCACCGTCTCGGGTGTGAGGTGGTGATTTTGCTGCTAGAACTAAACCCTGACCAGATCAATCTGTTCAACTGGGCTGTGGATCGCTGCTTCACTGGATCTTACCAGTTGGCTTCTGGGTGCTTCAAGGCCATTGCCACTGTGTGTGGCAACAGGTAGGAAAATCCGTCTCTTAACAATCTCTGGCATCTGTGTTGAGTTGTCTTGGCTCCAACCCATGTGTATAAAATATACCATAAAATGTTGTAGTCTATTACATATTAGCCTGCAGCGCCAATAGTTTTTATGTCCAAATTGTGCCCTCATTTCTTTAAAACATCATAATCATCTGAAACTCATAACCGTTTGTCCATGTTTTATCAGGAATTACCCCTGCGACCTAGTGACCTTGCTCAATCTGGTGCTGTTCAAGGCCTCAGACACTAGCAGGGAAATATATGAAATATCCATGCAGCTGATGCAGGTACATAAACAAAGATGCTCCTGGCACAAAGTGGCACAAAAATGTATTAAATAACACAAATATCACACACATGTCCACGTTTTTTCGTCTGCAGGTGCTGGAGACAAAGCTGTGTGCCTACTCTAAGAGGATGGTGGAGCAGAAACCTGGTAATATTTTATACGGAACACACGGACCCCTGCCTCCTTTGTACAGCGTCAACCTGTCCCAGCTCTCCATCCAACTGGCCAGCATGTACCCAGAACTCACTCTGCCTCTGTTCTCTGGTAAACACATAAGTCTTCATGTATTGTCCATTTACATTACATTACATTTTAAAGTGTAATATATACCCATATAAAGATATTTTTTGTCAAAAACATGCACGTTGTTGCAAAAACAGCAATGATAATTTATGTAACACAAAAAAAACCTGTTACATTAATTTCCTTGTCTCTAACAGAGGTGAGCCAGCGTTTCTCAACCACACACTCTAATGGCAGACAGATCATGCTGTCCTACCTCCTGCCTTGGCTAAGTAACATTGAGCTGGTGGACACTGGTCTGTTACCTCCTGCATCTAGTCCATGTACCCCAGAGGAGGAGCCTCGGGGTCAAACACGAGGCTTGGGTCTATCTCCGAGTCTTAGAGGCAACGGCTGGGGCTCGCTGCAGGCGACCTCACTGGTGCTTAACAACCTCATGTTCATGACGGCTAAGGTAAGAAGGAAGTGTAAGAATTCCGTATTTAAGCCTGTAATGTGGAATCATAGATTTAATATTGGCATTTGCTGATTTTAAGGTATTTTAAAAAAATAGAAACTGCTTGCAGGTAAAATGCCAAATCAGCCCTGGTCAAATCATGTACTTTATCTTGAAGCTTACAAAATCTGTGTTCATCTCTAAAATGCAGCCATTTTCTCAGCATTAATGACCTTTATTTTTTTTCATTTTTTTTTACCTTTTTCATCACATTGTCAGTATGGTGATGAGGTTCCTGGCCCAGAGATTGAGAACGCATGGAATGCTCTGGTGTCCAATGAAAGGTGGGGCAACAACTTACGGATCACTCTTCAGTTCCTCATCAGCCTGTGTGGAGTCAGCAGTGATACCACTCTGTTACCTTACGTAAGTCTGAGCTCTCACATACCCATGGAAATAACGACCCCAGAAAATTAATTATAGACATTTTTCAGACTTTTACCTCAACAGTTAACGCAGCTTTACATTATTCTGTTCAGATCAAAAAAGTGGTGATCTACTTGTGTCGAAACAACACCATCCAGACTATGGAGGAGCTTCTGTTTGAACTGCAGCAGACCGACCCAGTCAACCCAGTGGTGCTGCACTGTGATAACCCTCCCTTCTACCGTTTTGCAGCCAGCAACAAAGCCTCTACATCACAGACTGGTGAGAAGAACAGCAATTGTCCCATCCTGTTATATCAAACGTGGTCTCCTCTCCACTGAATGTTTACAGTGTTTGTTTTTCTTTTTTTGTAGGTACAACCTCCAGCAGTAACACTGTAGTTGCTGGTCAGGAGAACCTGCCAGACACAGATGAGAACAAGCTGAACAGGGAAGAGGAGCGGTTAGTATAAATGCAGTTTCATTAAGATTTTTGACTTAAATCTGACAAGCAAATCTATACCTGTAGTCACAAATGAAGTCATGAAATGTCATAATCAAATCTGATTTTTGTGAAAAAGCACTTTAAATCTAAGTACTTTAAATTGGACTGCTGGTCTTCTGTTCTCTCAGGAGGACCAGAGCCCACAACAGAGTAGAGTCACGTTACAGCAACAGTTCTGGAGGCTCCTATGAAGATGAAAAGAGTAAGTCATGGGAATTTATGTACATATTAGCTGGACTTATGTAAAGGGTACACACACCCACATACAGCCCCAGGGGTGCTTTACAGCTGTGTGTTAGTCAGACTAAGCTGTGGGAAATGGGGAAATTCCTCCTGTCACTCATTTTGATCCTCACTTTAGCTAACGCTCACTAATCCCTAAAATACTAATTGTAAAGAACATGAGCAAGATGAGAGCCGAGGAGTGACTGCTTTAATTGCGGTCTTTAAAGACAATAACCTGTGACCTTTGCACCTTTTCACATTCAAATATTTTTGTGATTATTTGTTTATGTTTTTTACTCTTAACAGAAAGGCTTACCTGAATATTACCATTATTTAAATTCCACATCAGCTATTAACAGCTGTATTTTTTTCCACCAGTTTTCTGATGAAAGTACTATTTAGAACTATTTTGTCTGGATATATTGGTATTTTAATCACTCTAGGGAAGGGAAGGGTAAAGTTGGAAACAAAATGTATGTGTTAAAAAGTCCTTAACTAGCATTAAAGTGTGTGGTTTATAATCCAACAATTGCCAAGATATAACAATGAGGATTTGAGTCATGTTTTATTCTTATACTCTAATAAAACCAAAACAAAGGCCATTACCATGTAAAAATGTACGTAATAAATGTATAACTTTTTTTATAATTAAATAACGTTTACAATTTGTAGCTGACCCCATCCCACCATACGCTGGTTGGCTGCTGGGTGTTCTGGAGACCAACCGTCCCCAGCCATTACCCATGCCCATAAACGGAGGCTGCTGGGCTCCTCTGGTTGACTACCTCCCAGAGACCATCACTCCGAGAGGACCACTTCACAGGTACTGACAGAGTGTCAAAACTGCCAAGATGGAATTTTTATTCTTGTTTGTGTCACTCTAAGTGGTAGATCAGTAAACTTAGCCCTGGAAGGTATTTACTCAGACAGGATTGTCACACCTGCTCACAGATGCTCTGATAAACTGCAGCAGGGACTGTGTGCAAGTCAGACCAATGTCAGGCCACTGTCTCTGACATTCACCTCAACTGTTAAATTGAATTTCTGAAGCTGAAAATGAATTTGTCAATTATCATTTATTTGTCTGTGTATTTGAGTTTATAGATGTGTACTGACCAGTGCAGATCACAAACAAACCTGTGCTGAAGGTTTTATATTATTTATATTTCTCCACCTTTTCAGGTGCAACATTGCAGTGATCTTCATGACTGAAATGGTGGTGGACCACAGTGTGAGAGAAGACTGGGCTTTACACCTGCCTCTGCTACTACACGCCCTCTTCCTAGGTTGGTGCACACAACACACACGTGGTGTAATGTTAGGTCATAACTGCAACAGATGTACATAGTATAGCCTAAATGTAATGTATTAAGAAGGGATGTCCTAAAACCGATTCTAGTATTGGTAATGGACCTGAAACTGGACCTGAAAATCAAATTCTTGTACTGTTTTTGTCAATTTAATGACAACCAGCTGCTCCTCAGTCACCAGTATCTTATTGCCCTTATAATTAAGTTTCTTAACATTGTGATCCATTAGGGGGTACATTATTGTAACATAAGGGACAAAGACAAGAGCAGACTCACTATCTGATTTGTTATGTTGTTATACCATCAGTTAAATAAAACAACTGATGCTGGTGTTTCTTTAGTGCTTTAGTGCTAAATATGCTATATGTTTTTTATTGGTTAAACTGCAGTCCGTTCACTTTTGATTGAGACTTATTAAACCAACATTGTGTGTGTGTTTGTTACAACATGGAAATACTGCTACTACTACTACTACTACTACCAGTGTGTCTACTGCATAGCAGGAGATGTTGTTTTCAGTTCAAAAGGCGTTGCCTCTGACGTTCAGGCCATGCTGTGACAGTATGAAGTTTTATCTCCTTCCGAATAAGACGTGCATTTCAGGATTGACCACTCTGGCGTGTCACCTCACACACTGACACATTCCCCAGCGCCTGCATTTTTGTCAACACTTACCTTATCTGTGCAGTGCTATATATTTAACATACTATAGTTGTCTGTGATTGTTATCATTAAATCTATGAGTTGTCCAAGAATGTATGACGCTTCATTTTTACATGAAACCTAATGAGCAGTGCAGCGATACATATGTTTCTATTATGAGTCTGTGTGTTCTCTTAAATAGAAACAAGAGACAATGGTTTACGTTAAAGAATCATTAAAATAGAAACCCAGAATGTCTAGAAGCCACTTTGTTATAGGGTTTGTTATCAAATTCAAACTTTATTCAGTGAAATGTGCTGTGGAATCTGTTGGTTTGATTTAATCTTTCATTTAATTTATTCTTGATGAATAGCTTTCTAATCCTTTTGTTGTGTTTCTGTTCTACAGGTCTGGACCACTACAGACCAGAGGTCTATGAACACAGCAAACGCCTCCTACTTCACCTCCTGATTGCCCTCTCCTGCAACAACAATTTCCAGGTGAGAGTCTGCTGTTATTATTATTATTATTATTGTATTGTTTCAATCAAGGACTTGATTTAAACCCCTGAGTTCTCAGACTCAAAGTGAACACCACCCACACCGCCACCTCCCCAGCCCCCCACCCAAGACTCACTCTGAATACATTCAAGTTCTCATTCAGTGGCTTTGAGTCAAAACCTTGGAACTTGGTTAATAAATCTTCTGGAGGGAATGTAACTTAAGGTTTAACTTTGACAAATGAAATCCTACTTGAGACAAATGTTTTCTTTGTATCAGACTCTGACTTGAAGTGCTGCAGATCCGGGTCATTGTTTTTCTCTGATGGACTTCTGTTTTTCAAAGGAGTATTTTACCTGTCAGTTAAAAAGCTATGCATTTTTTGGAACAATGTAAACCCCCACCTCCTAACCCAGCAACAGGTCATTCGTTTCACATGAATAGAAGTGTGAACAAGGAATGTTTTGTTCCATTGTGAAACACACCCTTTCCTCATATGAGCTCTGTCCTTGCTTGTTGAATAATCCGGGAGAAAGAAAATGCAGTGTTTTTTTTTTTTCTGTGAGTATGTTTTTGTAGATGTCATCTTTGTCCACTGACGTTGTCTCTAGGTGTTGAAGAGTTTCTTTTCTTTCATTCAGGTAATAGCCTCTGTTTTGATGCTGACAAGAGAGATCAGTGACAACAAGACACTCACCATTAAATCCAGCTACCACACAGAGTACCAGCAGTCACGTAAGTCAGAGAAATACCCTCAATGACACACAATGATGCTCCTGAAATGATAAATAAATAGTACACTGTAGTTTTAACTGTATTATAATGACTCCTTAGATGCCCCAGACTTTCTGCGGGAGTGGCAGGCGTCTCCAGTGGTCGACTCTGGTCTGAGCTCCACCTCCAACTCGTCTTCTGCCAGTCTGGGTGGTGGCAGCACTGCAGGGAGTGTTGGGAATTTGCCCCTCGTGACTCCAGATGACTTAGAGGATCTTGAAGATACCACGAACGAAACTGACGAGAAGACAAACAAACTCATTGAGTTCCTCTCAACCAGGTATGCACAATTCACACACACACCATTATGTAGAGTTTTTGAGGCACATCAGTTGTTGGTGAAGATCTACCCGCACAGGTGCACCCTCTGTACGTTTTTTAAAATGTTTTAGTGCTTTTGTAACAAGAATGTGGTGCTACTGGTGGTGGGTATGCAGTGCCTGGAGTACTGTGTTGTTCTTGCTTAGAGCATTCGGTCCACTGTGGGCACACGAGGACATAACCCCGAAGAACCCCAACTCCAAGAGTGCGGATCAGCTGTCCAATTTCTTACGGCACATCATCTCTGTCTTGAAAGAATCAAAGTCTGGTAAGAACATCAGATGAGTCATGATATTATGGTGCCACATCAGACAAAAGCTGTATAATGTGTAAAAAAATTAATTTCATTTGTTTTGATTTCTTGCAGATTTTCATCTGGAACAGGAGCTTAGTGACGTTGCTTTACAGACGGCCCTATGCAGCTCCTCTCGACACTACGCTGGACGCTCCTTCCAGATCTTCCGAGCTCTCAAACAGCCAATCAACAACCATGCTGTCTCTGATCTGGTTTCACGACTAGTGGAAGTGATTGGGGAACACGGAGACGAAGTACAGGTAAGAAGAAGCAGAAAGCAGTTCAGAGATTGTTGGGTGCTAAACAATATTAAACTCATATGTGTTTCAGGGCTACGTGATGGAGATACTGTTAACACTGGAGTCTGTTGTGGTGAATTTAGCAGAATGTCTGAAAAACAGCGACCTTATGGCAGCTCTTACAAGGCAGGCAACATTTTATCTGCTCATTTCTTATTCAGTCCATTCTCCCATTAGGAATCTTAGCAATGCTCAGCACAAAGATCAATGAAAAACGTTGTTAACTTTGAATGTCTGATGCACAGGACGTCGTCACCGGACTTTGTGACTAGCGACAAACTGATGAACAGAAAGAGCACTGGTCAGTTAAACTTCCCTGGGCCGGGATTTGTTGGGCTGTCATCACAGCGCCATCAACGCTCCTACTCAGTCCCTAAGAAGTTTGGCGAATGTGGGAGTCAGCTGAGTGATCCTCCGCGCAGTGCAACTCTGGACCGTATACAGGCAAGAAGAGGCGATCAGACATGTTAAACACATTACAGGAGACGTTTTATGTCAATTTAATCTTTACATACTTTTTCATGTCCAGGCTTGTAACAGTCACGGCCTCAGTCGATCAGGGAGAATGACCGGTTCCTGCTCGTCATCTACAAATCGAATAGATCCAAGTGTTCTATCAGATCCCGCTCACGTTTCCCACCCAACATCAATACTGGCTACTGTCTTTTGGGTGTCAGTGTCGCTCATGGAGTCGGACTTTGAGTTTGAATATCAGATGTCACTTAGACTGGTCCACAAGCTGCTTTCAAAGGTAAATCATATCTAAAATGAGATTTCATTTGTATGGATTCATTTTCTTAGTTACAGTAACTACATGACGTTATCGTCTTTGACTGCATTTTTAACATAGGTGCCCATAGACAGAGCAGAAAACCGTGAGCGCCTGGAGAAGCTGCAGGCTCAGCTGAGGTGGAGTGGTTTCTCGGGAATTCAGCAGCTCTTGTTAAAAGGCTTTACCTCTCAGGCCACGTTGGACCTCACGTTACAGCTGTTCTGTCAGCTCACACCTGTTTCACGTGTCGCTGTTGTCGACAGCTCACAGTCTATAGGTGAATGCTGTCGTCACATCATCTGTGATCTTTTTGGATTATTGTAATAAGCTGTTTTTATTCACACTTGATTTGCATTTTTCATATGGACAGGTTTCCCTCTGAATGTTTTGTGTCTGTTGCCTCACCTGGTTCAGCACTTTGGCCATCCAACTCAGTTTTGTAAGGAGAGTGCAGAGAGGATCGCACAGGTAGGATATAATATTCAACCTGGCATTAACCAGATTTTCTTATTGAGACTTGTTGAGAGTATATCACATGTTCTCTTTCTCCTACTGTTTTGGCCTCTCAGGTGTGTTTGGTAGAGAAACATACAAAACTGTCCCACTTGGCTCACGTCATGACCCTCTATAAGACACGGTCCTACACACGGGACCCATTTTCCTGGGTCAGTGTGGTTTGTCGCTACTTGCACGAGGCTTTCTCTGACATCACCCTCAGCATGGTCACCTATATGGCTGAGGTAAGTGCTGATAAAAATCAAATGATGACACAGACAACAGACTTTGTTATGTAAGGAAAGGTTCATGTGAATATTGTGTTGAAAGAAACACGTGAAAAAATGATAATCATTTCTCATTCAGACCCTGATATGTTTCTCTCCTTACCTTCTCAGCTGCTGGAAAAGGGCCTTCCTAGCATGCAACAGTCTCTCCTCCAGATCATCTACTGTCTGCTCAGTCACATGGACCTCACTGCTGTACAGGTCAAACAGTTCAACGCTGATGTTATAAAGACCATTGAGAAGTTTGTACAGGTAAGCGTCCACTGGTTGTGTGATCCAGAGAGCCAGGTCCTGTCACTGTCTCACATGCTGATGGTTCTTTTCCATGTGCTTCAATAGACAATACACTGGAAGGACGCTTTGAACATCTTGAAACTGGTGGTATCCCGTTCTGCCAGCCTTGTTCATCCAGTGTATGGCCACTCCCAGGGTGACCTCTCTAACCTTGAAGTCAGTAGAGTGTGGGATGGTTCGGCCAAAGCTCTGCCAGGGAAAACATTGGACTTCACCTTTGATATCTCTGAGGTGAGGAAACAGGAACAAGATAATATTTTCATTTGGCCAGTTCTACCATAGCACATTAAATGCAACCCTACTTGTGGAGCATTTATAGATGACTTGTTGTTCAACACACAAAACGTATGGTATTTAATTCCCAGACTCCTGTGATTGGGCGGCGCTTTGATGAGCTGCAGGGTTCAGGAGGCAGAGATGCGAAGGCCAGAGCCATGGCTGTAACTCGCAGCACTTCCTCCACTTCCTCTGGTTCTAACTCCAACACAATCTTAGTGCCAGTCAGCTGGAAAAGACCCCAGTTATCTCAGGTAAAACTTCACCTGCCATTATTGTAACAGAGTTGAAGATTTGTCTCTGTTTCATATGTATTTAACACAATATATTTTATTTCGTAGAGGTCACTGTTTTACCTTAGTTTCTAACTAGAGCCAATTTGTCAACTCATATTTATTAAATAATGATCCAGCATCTACATTTATATAGATGTATAATAATAAATTACACAATACAAACTTTGCTGTAGTTGCACGTCAAAGCTAAATACGTGTTGGGATTTTTTTTTTCATTATAATCTTTCTGACTTTTTTAGAAAAGAACCAGAGAGAAGCTGGTAAATGTTTTGTCTCTGTGCGGACAAGAAGTTGGACTGACTAAAAACCCATCTGTAAGTTATAACTCCACACTGTCTGTTTTGGTGAAGCTAAGATCCAGGCATTCTAAATATTTAGCTCTGTGTCTGTTTTCTCCCTCAGGTTATTTTCTCATCATGTGGCGACCTGGACATGATGGAAGTACGTGAGAGTGGTGTGTCCTCAGAGGAGGGTGGAACCAGAGAAGACACTTTAGATGACACTGCCAGTGAGCAGCAGTTTAGGGTTTTCAGAGACTTTGACTTCCTGGATGTGGAGCTGGAGGATGGAGAGGTGACACTTATTACCGTCTTGCACTCATTTCTAAAGTGATAAAGTAAACTAGTAAAAGTCTGTCTCTCTCTTTTCTTTTGACTGTTGTTTTGTTTGTTTTACCTTTTCTGCCTGTTGTTCTCCAACAAATATACATATCTAAAATGTATTTATCTGTCCCTCCTCCTTGTCTCTTTCTCTCTCTCTAATTCTGTGTCTCTCTCTCTCTCTTCCCTTTTGCTACCTAGGAGCTCCAGGTAAGGTGTCTCACACTGAGCACTTCCATTAGCTTGTATCAGCGCTTTGGTGTTGCTGGCTCCTTTGTTTCCTTTTGAAAACGTGTTGATTGTGCTTCATTGTGCTCTCACAGCTTGGTTGCAAAAGAAAAACTAAATATCTGAACAAATTGCTATAAACAATTCTGTAAAAAGGGGTAAAACATGGACAGCCTTTCCAGCATACTTTCATGCCATGAATAACAGATCATCGTTGCATTGTGTGCTCGTCATCAGGCGCTTTTACACAGCAAGCAATCATTATCTTCACTGTAAAAACAGATGTTGAGTGACTGTGGCCTTTGCTTTTGTCTTCCAATGCGTACGATGTGTGTTTCATCCAGGGTGAGACAGTTGATAACTTCAACTGGGGTGTTCGTCGGAGATCCCTGGACAGTACAGAGCTGGGTGACCTGTTGGAGGAGAGTCAACACTCGGGCAGCACCCCTAGTCTGGGTCACGAGGACCCTCATGATTCAGACGAATCTTCAGAGGAAGAGGAGTCCTCGACGAGTCAGAGCCTCTCCCACTCTCAGCTCGTGAGTAGACTCAACCTTTACACCCAGGATTTGATTTTTACTGTAGGTTATTCCTGATCGCTCTTCTCTCTTCCAGACAAACCCTTCTCCATCAGAGGAGACAAATCAAACTGATTCACTATCCACTTCTTACGACATTTCTGCTGACCAACAATCCTTTAATGCCACCACACCGAGTCAGGGAGCCTTTAATGATGACCACATCGGCCTACATGTAAGTAACCACTTTATTTAATATATAATGTACAATTATCTGTCAGATCCTTTAGAGACAGATCTTTGTTTCCAGGGGAGAGTGTGTGGTGAGGATGAGGACACTCAGGCCCATGACGACGAGCTGTCGCTGCCTCATGGTTCAGACTGTGGTGAGAGCTTCACCCTGGAGCTGCCCGGTCAGCCACAAGACCGGCTGCCCAGTCTGGACCACAGACTTAATCCAGACTACTGCCAACCTCCACTGGACTTTCTCGACCCAAACTGTCTTCCCAGGTAATTTTAACAGATAAAGAGCTTTAGTAAAATAAATCTGCATTTAATGTATTTTATTCCTACTAGGTCAATAATTTACAGTGTTTTCTAATCTAATTACAGATTTGAATGTTAAAAACTTCTTTGTGGGAAATGATAGTATTTTTTTTTGTTGTTTCCTCATTCCTTCCTTGTGTGTCTGGTGACAGCTTACGTGATGATGTAGATGACCTTGAAGACCTGGGTTTTCCTCCTCCGCCCTCTCCATTTTTCTCTGCCATTCTGGCAGCCTTTCAACCCACAGTGTGTGACGACGCTGAAGAGGCCTGGCGTTGTCATGTTAACCAACTGGTGACAGACTCAGACGGCTCCTGTGCCGTCTACACTTTTCAAGTATTCTCGTCTCTCTTTAAGGTATATCACAGAAACTACTTTTCTGTAATTGTCATCAGTTCTCACATTCAAAATATATCATTTTAGCATCAGGAAAAAAGATCTATTGATTCAACTTTTTTTCCCAGAACATCCAAGGTAAATTCTGCACCTTGACAACTGATGTTGCCACGTACCTTGGGGAGGGCTTAAGAGGTATTGGCTCAAAGTTCCTCAGGTCATCACAGATGCTCACTACCTGCTCAGATTGTCCCACTATCTACATTGATGCAGACACAGTAAGTAGTTTTTGTTTTAGGAATGATGGCTCATGTATATCAGTTTTAAATTAAGAAAGCCAATCCAATTCATACATCTAATTTACACTGCCTGTGTTTTTCTGAATTTCCTTAGATCATGTCCTATGGTCTCCTTGAAAAGATGAAGTTTAGTGCCCTTGAGCTGCAGGAATACCTGGATACCTACAACACCAAGGAAGAGGCTGCTGTTGTGGTTAGTTGACCGAAGGCCATTACATAATTTTTTTTTAAATTTCTTCCCTGACTCTCTTCATATTCTGTTTAGTGGCTGAGGAACTGTAGAGACACATTTCCCAGGTGTCCTGGTGACAGCGTGGTAACTTGCCAGCCTGGAGATTCTGAGGAGAAGGTACGGACATATTAACAAACTCATTACTTAAGATACGCTCACATTCTCTGGTATATGGTATATAATTCTGTTTTTCTATGGCTCTTGTCCTCTGTGATTCCTGCCACTGAAATGGTTTCTCTGTCTGCGTGGCTGCTGTGTTTCTACTTAATCATCTGACCAGGAACTAACAGAAATGTGCAGTTTCTAGGTTCTATTCACTGTCAACTAAATCTTAGATGCCTGACTGTGAAATGTCTTGGTTTATACTGTGCCGTGCCGTGTGTTTGATTGACGCTTTGTTTTCCTCTCGCCTCACTCTGATGCCCTAACACAATCTCTCGCTGTCTAGCAAATGGAATCTCTTGCAGTAAGTTATTCAATTTTCACTTTTCACTGCCGTAACAAATAAACAACTCAATTGATTTTAAACAAAACTATCACCTTGTCATGTTAGCGCCTGGTTTGGTTCCTCTGCATGCATGCATGTGGGATGTTTATTCAAGTGTAACCATGTTATTGTGTTTGGTAATTCAACGTAATCCCTTATTTAATGTCTTTCAGCAACTGGAGCTTTGTCAGAGGCTTTACAAGCTGCACTTCCAGCTGCTCCTCCTCTTCCAGTCCTACTGTTCGCTCATAGGTCAAGTCCATGCCATCAGCTCTGTACCTGAGGTGAGTACTTCAGAATGACATCAGTTCATGTGAATGTTTGAAAAGATCTGACTCCGCACATAATAAACAACATGACGTGGTCACGAGGAGCCACCTTTCTGTGTGATGATATACAGTAGCTATCACACAGTGCATGTGATGGACAAAGAGATTATACAGTTATTGTTATAAATCATTTCTATTTAAATATGTTGCTTGATTAAAAATCCACCATCTGTTTTCCTCCCTCTCCTTAGCTGCTGAACATGTCTCGAGAGCTGACTAATCTGAAGACCAGTCTGCAGGCTGCAGAAGCAGCTGTGGCCAGTGACCTGGAGCACAAACTGCTGGCCCACACACACGCACACGCCACTCAGGTGGCAGCCGTGGTTGTGCCCAGCTTCCAGACCTCTGAAGCAGCTGTGCAGGCCATACTGGAGTGCCTTAAGAACCACGAGTTCACCAAAGCTGTGCGCTACATCCAGGAGTGCAGGTGAGGAACAAATGTACAAAAAAAATACTGAGCCGTGAGGATAAATAAAATAAGTCTGACTGCATCACATGAGAATTTGCAGAAGCACTGTAGGGTCTCCATGCCCTTTCACACCTTTTACCATCTTATTTTCAGGAGGCAGTGGCCCAGTGGAGTTTTTGGTGGCAGCTCAGAAACCGAGGTCCAGACTCTGCTCAACATCTACTTCCGCCACCAGACCCTGGGCCAGACCGGCACCATTGCCCTGGTCGGCTCCCGCCAGGACCTCAGCTTGATCTGCTCCAAGCTGCTGGAGCTCAACGGGGAGATCCGGGACATGATCCGCCGCGCTCAGGGTTACCGCGTTGTCACAACTTACCTCCCCGACTCCAGCGTTTCCGGGACCAGTCTCTGACAGTACCTCAGGAGCCCTCCTCCCCCTCCACCACCATCCGCCCCACTGACCGTCCCAAAACCTCATCAAGCAGAGGAGCCTCAGCACCATCATACCTGGCCACTGTCTCCTCCTGCATGTCTGCTGCCACACATGCACAGCTCCAGGGAGATTCCTGCCTGTCGCCTACCCCAGCAGTAGAACAGGAACCACATTTGGACCATGGACAGTTCTCCACTGAAGACTCTGACACTTTTGGTTTTGATTTTCCTAAACCCCCAGACTTGTTCTTATCACATAACTGCTCCACCTCTGCAGCCCGGGAAGGTTTGACCGTTCTGTGCAAACATGAGCCCAAGAGAAGTTTGTCCCATGGCAGTAATAATCTTTATTGTCCTTACAGAGGACATTTGTCAAATAGTTCCCCAATATCCTGTCTACACAGCAGCAAGAGCTTCATATCATCTCTGTCATGTAACACACTTCAGACTGTAGCTTCAGAACCAACATTGCTTCAACACCAGGACTTGAACACCGTCCCTCCTCCAGGCTCTCATCTGCCGCATTTCCCCCGTTCTCCGTACAAACGATTCCCTGGTCAACAACAGGGCTGTGATTCAGTCTTGACATGTGTCCCTGCCCCATCCTCTTCCATTCTTCCTCCTCCTCCTCCTCCCACTGCTCCAGGGGAGACCTCAGCAGCATGGAGTTGCTGTTGCTCCCTCGCTGGAGCTACCTCACCCATTTCCCGATACTTGGGAAAGGTGGGGCACGTCACTCTGCCCTTGTTAAAGGTGGGGCGGCTCCTGAAAGACGAACCATCAGACGTCCAGACGTGAGACGTGAAAAAGGACCTACAGAGCTTAAGAACCAAACCCTTGAAACGAACAACTTCTGAACGACTCTTAAGATCTTTGTGAAGAAGAATGTGACTTCCGAGAGATTCTTCAAGCTCTCGCACTGAAATATGACCGATGTCTCAGAATATACTGGGACGTATCACTGAACTGGACACTGCCAAACAGGAAATGGTGTGATATTTGTGATGTTTGTTCTGCAGCTCGTGAACATGACCTGATTTTATCATCAGTCAGCAGCCAAAAGTCTCTCCTGCTGTTTTTTGACTTCCTGGGGAAATTTTAAACCCCTGCTTGAACTTGATGGACACAGAGACAAAGGAAACTAACTACCTGTGACCCTACTTATTACTGGTAGAGTTTCATCTATTGCACTAAACAAGGAATGTCACAGAGGACGAATAGTTACCGTGTCACTGAGTGATGTCTCTGTCAGAGAAAAGCTTTGTCACTTTTACTGGAAGGAAAAGCCAAAACCTAACTTTTCTCTCCTGTTACGTCTACTGCTTTGAAACCTCTACTGGAGGAAACCGTGCAATGCATGACCCAGCTGAACGCTATCTACTGTACACTGGCGCCTCCTATGTGCACCCTAAGGATCTGTAGTGATCAGACTGACTGAAAGACTGACTGATAAAACGGCAGGAACAGAATATTTGAGAGTGAACACTCCTGCTGCCTCTGCCCTAGAACACCGATCCAACTGTAAACAACAGTGGACTTATCATGCCATTCTCTGTGAGTGTGCAACCCACACACACTGTGGCCGTAGTTAGAGCATTATTAGTGATGTGCTTCACTGATGATTGCCATGTTTGTCCAACACTGTAACACTTTGACCCTCTGTGTTCACACATGCTGAGGACGGCGCTTGTATACACTTCAAAAAAAATATTTTGTCTGTCTGTCAAGTGTTAATAGACGAGCAGCCACGTAGCAGATGTGCGTGTGTGGTTTGTAGTTACTTTACACATAAAGGAATGCTGACATTCAGCACTCTTTGTTGATGTTGATGAAACTCGCTACTACTGAAGTTGAGCACATCCTGTTGTCGGCCCTTCCTGTGACTCTCTCTCCTCTTCCCTCTCTGCTGTACAAATGTCTTTATTTCCTATTTATATCTGATCAGCTCAAAAAACCAACACTCATTCGACTTAGGTTTTATATCGATGTTTGTCCTCTTAAATCAAACTGCCATGCATGCGTCCTCTGTGTACTGTATGGAGCGTTTGAAATATTTATTTTATCTGAAAGATACATTTGTATGAGGTATAAAAGGGAGCTTTAAGCTCGTGCGGGTATGTGTTTTCGCCTCCCATTGGGAAAATGTGTGTGCATGCCAAACCTGAAATTGCACATTTTTAAAGCTTTTTAGATGAAGACCGTAGTTGTTTTTTTCCCACATGTAAATATTTTTTCAGCCTTTGTGAAGGTGTTTTGAGTTGATGCTCTGTACAAGTCATTGTCAAAGTAAAGACCATCAGTACTGTCTTGGGTGTTTAATTAAAAATATACTCTTTTAGGGCACCAGTTGGTAGAAATTCCAAACAGCCTGTGGAAACATTGTCAGGGAAGAAAAAAATATTTTGATTATTGGCAAATACCATCTTTCTCCCCATTCTTCAAGATGCTAAATCAGTCAAATGTCATTGGAAAAAGGAGATTTGAGATGTTAAATTCATACATTTTTATTTTTTATGAAATAATTAGTGTTCAACTTATGGCACTTTTTTTTTTTTTTTTTTTTTTAGAAAGTGCTGGTGTATTGAACCTGTAGGGACAACCCAGAGAGCTCAGACGATGTATTTGAAGCTGTAGGTGGCATCGCAGGATAGCTTCATGCCCTTGCAGCGGCAGCACAGGTCCTGACGATGAGGTCTCTTCATGTTAATGTGCCTCTGCTTCTTATCACAGCTGCAGGAAGTCAGCGAGCAACCCTGAGACAGCAGGGAGGAGACAGGAATGTTGAATGCAGGAGGAGGAGATGGTACAGAGCAAGTCATTATGAAAATAAGCAGAGAAGACCTCAGAAGGATCAGACATTTCAACTTGACAAGTCACTCGAGTATGTTAAAGTACCCTGCAGAGAATGGGCTCCACTCTGTAGGGGTTAAACCCCACCTGACACTTCCGGCATAGCTGCTTGTAATACACCTGAGAGAATAAGCATGATGAATATTCCCATTGTGAGTTGGTCATACGCTGTTGTTAAAGCTGGATCTCTCACTGACCTTACTGGTTCCAGAAATGCACCAGACATAAGCACTCTCCCATCGGATGTTGCATTTTTTGCAGTGGAAAAAACCGTACCTCTGTTCCAGAAACTGCCACAGAAAAAATACTTTTATTGGCAACAACTTCTAGTTGATGTAACATTTTACTTTTTGAAAAAGAATGTGGGATTCAGCTAGCCTTGTTTTTTTTTTTTTTGTTTTGTTTGTTTTTTTAGGTTCCGATACATTGTTTTCAGATTCCTTCAGACAAGGTATAATATTTACAACCAAAAAACATTTAAAACTATTGGTAAAGTTCAGGTACTTTTTCTGGAACATCACATTGTAATTGGAATAACTGTCCATATCTTATTTACAGACTGTACAAAGTTATTACTATACTCCCTTAATTATAACAATAATGGGAAAAAGTATAAATAGAGTTTGGCTCCGTTTTAGTTTTGACTAAACAAATCAGACAATTAGAAAATAGACCTAAATTACGTGCGTGTGTTGGTTTTTCACTTAACCCAAAGGTTAAGAATGCCTATTGCATTTTTGGACTTGGTTTTATTCTTTATTGGTTTTATTCTTCATGTTTACAAAGAGAAAGGGGTTGGATGTGTTTACTTGAGTGGTTTTGCGTACACTAAGAGACCAGGACGGGTATTGAACCCACCTGAAAATTCGAACCCTTCGGGGATTGGCGAAAAGTTGTCTTCATGTCGTCGCTGTTCTCTTCCACCTCAGCATCTGGATCAGACTCGGCTCCTTCCGCAGCTTCAGCTTCATCCTCTTCACTTCCTCCGTCATCTTCCGGCCTCTTCAGGAAAAGCCTGCGGTCAAACACAGGTGAGTAGATGGAGACGGGCCTCAGGTAGCGCAGGTGGCTCACATGCGTCGGCGGCGTTTTCTGCTGCGGGCTCTCTGGAAACTTGGTGGAGTCGAAAGGCTCGTTCTCCGGACCGAACAGGGTCTTAGGGCCGAGTGAACACTGGACGACTTTATCCACTTTGGCGTTCACCTGCACACCGCACTCCTTGGTGTTGGCCTTCTTCACTGCAGCGGAGAAGCCCGGGTTAACCTGGTACAGGATGGCCTTACACAGCTCCAGGTAGTTCAGACCCTGGGGGTTAAGGAAGCGGCCCTCACGCTTCCCCCAGCCACCACCCTGAAGGGGCGCACCGCACAGCGGGTTAGCGTACACGCTGCACGGTGGAAACCTAGACGGGAACCCCTCCATCCTGGAGCCATGAAAACAGTCCTAGTGACTTCTGCTCGGTTTTATACCGGTGTCATCTTTCAGCACTAATTGGTTGATCTACTGCAGGGGCGTTTACGTTTAATTTACGACTGATCCGTTATAGATAAACAGAACAACAGAGGTCTCTCGTATCAATTCATACAAACCAGGCATCAGTTGATCTCAGTATATATTTGACGGTCGGTTAAATAACTGCAACCTTTATTTTTAAAAAATGTTCAAAATCAATACGTAGCTCTGTAAAGATTGACTAAACGCTGAAATAAACAGACAAATGTGTTCAACAGTCTCTTCCAGCTGGTTCTTCCAAGATTTCTAAAAGTAGACGGTTGTATGCAGATTAGAAAACCATACAACAGTTATCCCGAAAGTAATTTTAACAGGTCACAAGAAATGCACCGTGTCCTTTTAACTGTAATAAACCATTGGTTTATGGTGGGGTGGTTTTGCTCTAGCCTTACAGCAAGAGTGTCAGCAGTTCAAGAGCATGTGGTAACTTTACCACATGCTCACAACTGTACGGAGTCACCCTGTTCTCCATGTGTTTTCTCCAGGTATTCAACAATAAAAACACGCAGGAATATGTAAAACGAATACATTAAAATGGACAATAGGTATAGCTATATATAGTTGACTTAAATGGTCTAAATAAATGTGACTGGCCAACTGTCCAGGACGTACCCCGACTCTCACCTACTGTGACACTGGAAAAGGATTAAGGGGTAATAAATAAATCAATGTTAATCAAAAATTAAATTATTTTAAAAATGTGTAAAAACAACAATATTTATTTAGCTATTTTTAAACTAGTTGTTCAATATTTCATCAATTTTAGGAAGGTTTGTATTGTAGACATGTATATTACGTCCTACAAAGCCTCCACTCATTGCCAAGAGGCAGTAATAGAGAAAACAATCAGAATAATCTAATCCCAACGGTATAATACAGACTAAATGACACGGTTTACTTTAGCTGATTAGTTAAATTAGGTCTCCACACAGTACGTCAGTTCACAGGAGATGTAGGTCCTATGGCATGACTAAAAAAAGAAGTCTGTGGTTATCAAATACTCCGCAGAGACCGTTCACAAAAATCTTTCTAATCACATTTTTGTAGTAGTATTCTGATGCAAGCCTGAAAAATTATACAGGAGCTCCCCCTACAGTTCATGTTGACCATATACTGTATATAGTACAATAACAAAACAACCTTTCCTTTTCTTTTTGAAGATTAATGTGCAAAAATAAGTACAATAAAAAGTTAATTTAATGAGGCCACGAAAGAAAATAAGGTGTTAAAAATAAAATGTATAAAGCCCACTTGTATATCACTTTAGTTTATTTTAAAGTAGTAAACACCTTGACCCTAAAATTGAACTTCAACAGAGGTTTTTGAACTTCATTTATCGGTGTTGTAATATAATAATATATTAGTATTTACATAACATCAACACTGGTAATGTCAAATCACCAGTTTCTGTTATTTGGTGGTTTTAATTCATTCTAATAATCTAAATCCAGGTCTATAATGACATTTACAGAGATATAGTATAGTATAGTATAGTATACAGTTATGAATATGCTTAGTTTTATTTCAATTTATTTATGGATTATACAATTATTTGACTAATCTTTACAATGATCAACAAAAACCATTGGATTGGATGATCGTAAAATCATCCTGGTACTTTAAAAGCTCGTTAGTTTCAGTCGTAGATGGAATGGTTGTGACCATGTAATGAAATGACGATGAAAGGATTACAGGAGCATCATAAAGGATCCAGTTGACACACAAGAACTGCTCAATAGGTGGCGCTGTGCTCTCGCGGATGTCTCGTACCCATGGGCACTGGATATCCACACACATATTGGCGCCATTTTGGAGCTAGAGGAGGGGGAAGAGAGCTGCAGAGGAGGACACGATTGATCACAATTCATCGTAACAGGTAAGAAAATAAGCGAATCCCAGTGATTAGTGTTTACCGAGAAGATTGTTTTTGCAGGCGCTGCTGTGGAAACCAAGGTAAACTCCGGGATATAGACATAGAGCAGCCGGGTGTTCAGCACTAGGAACTGGAGGAGTAGCCCGCCTCGTTCGCTTCTGTTCTCGGGCAACCTTGTCTGAGCTCTCGGCGCTGGTTGATCCACTCCAGCGTTGCAACAAATATTGGCTGAAGAAAATGGAGCAAATTCCGTAGAGGTGGCATACATGGGCTTGATAACTACTATCTTACCTTAGCGTTATTAGGGCTGTGATGTGTGTTTGGATCTAACGGTAGTTCACCGGGTTTTAGATTCACTGTTATTCACTGTCCGCCCTCTGTCACTTAGACTGTTACTGCTGCTAACGTTAGCCTAGCAGGCTAACTGCAGCTAACCACATTAGCACCAAACACAATATAAGAGCTAACAGCCAGAGCTACACCGTACTCCTGGCCTTGACATGCTGTTCCAACCGTAACAATAAAACCTTGTGTTCACTCACCGCTTTCTCCTCTGGAGCACTTTTACTTTGGAAATAAGCAAAGAGGACGTTGTAATTGAGCTAATTTCGCAGCGACTACTTGCTCAACTAGGCTTTGTGAATGCAAACCTTTCGTAGAATTGCATGTTTTGTTATTGATCGGCAGCTTAACCAAGACATTTACCACATGTGAAAGCACTGTCTCACTTTATTACAAGGTTATGTGATTGAAGGCGGCGACAACATGAAGTAAATATATAATATAATTAAAATACGAAGATAGATCGTAGTAGTATTTACTAGATTGAACACCGCACGGACAGCAGTGACTTTTGACACCCTTCATTATGGGTACTATTTTTTTTTTTAGCGTGAGGTGATAAATAATCGGTCAACTAATCGACTGTAAATGTCGACCAGCATTTCATATCTGTATATGATGCCTAAAAGTAGAACGGCAATGCCATTTGTGCAGAAAATGTCAACCCTTAAATTATAGAGGTGCAACTAATGTTGTTATTGTCGATTAATCAGTGTTTCCTTAGCATTACATTGTCGACCATTATTATGACTGTTGGACACCTACTTTCATCTGTGCTTACCCTATTGTGTTTGGTCATTCTCTTGGACCATATCATGTTTTGTTATTTAGCATCTGTTAATGCATTATTATATTAATAGGCATTCTATTAAAGACAAATGATAATAATAATAGAACTATTGTATTGTTTAAACCTGTTTGTCTTTTGATGAAACAATACAGACACAAAGACAGAAGTATTCACCAGATGAGCCATCACATTGGTCACAGTCCACTTTGAGAACTATCAGCTTGTAGATTTGTTTGTCCACTTATTCACCCAAATAATACAAATTTACCAAAACTCACTACACTAGTACAAAGTGACATTTCCATTTAACATAAACAAACACTCTAATTTTAAACCAGATACCACATCCTAGCTTGTTAGGTTTAATGTGTCCTCTTGCAGGCAGCAGCTTTCCAGCTTCACTTTTCCAAATTTGAGGGAAAACAGAGCCCCTCGTGTGGTCAGAGTCCTCCCTAATTTATATCCTTGGGCTTTTTACTCAACAAGAGTTTGGATGTACCATGAACACAGAATGGCAGGAAAACTGTTTCCTAACAACTGCAGACATATGGTTTAGCACCGTTTCAGTTGACATAGCAAAGTTTCCTTTAGGATTCTTTCTGTGTGGGTTGGGGTCAATTTTGCTTTTTGGGTTTGTATTTGTCCCACTGTTTGGTCAGTCTACGCAGTATTTCAAATTTTACCTAACGACACTGTCAATGACTTACACATTTCTTTCCAGTTGTTTCATCAGGACCAGTCTGGTTCCATTTTTCGATGGCTTAATCTTAATTTGTGTTTGTGCCGATGCCTGTAATGAGGTCACCTGGTTCATGCATCCAAACAGCTGGAGTCAAGTCCTTAACCGTGTTTACTGCCAGTCACAGGTCTGACCTCAGACCCCCACGGAGTGAAAATGTGAAGTGTTGGCATCAGGGTTCAGACAGGGTTAGTAGAGGTGCTGTGCAGCTTCAGATTACAGCTGGCAGATGTGTTAAATAGCTGTAGAGAGGATAAATAGGTTTGATTATCATGAACTAGAGGATAGTTGAGCGTTAGCCCATGATTGAGTGTTATGTAAGTAAAACATGTCTGTATGTGACTTTTAAATTGTTTTAAAGATGGATTGTCACTGGTCAGACACCTTAGGTCTGAATGCTGCGCTTTGCTTTGCTGCCAGCACTCAGTGTTTGTCATTGTTGTAGATGCCGACAGAAAAGGGAATAGACTTGTATTCTGCGGCAGCCCTGGTAGAAACAGTAGGTTAGAGTTAGGGCATTTTGGCAAACGGTCCCCTTGTATGTGTTCAGCTTTTAATGCACGTTTTGACCTATTAAGTTTAAGTTCAACAGCATAATGTGCATGGCTTGTAATGAGCCTTTTCATTTACTTTATTGCATCTCAATCAAACCATGAAAGCAGAAACACTTGGAATGAGATGGCTTCACTCTAATCCACTGCCTTTCAAAATGAAAAGCATTATGAAGAACAAACAACCGAAAGATTAGAATCTGTGTCTGGATTTACCAAGACCAAGATGTACAAAGAATAGAATGTGCTTTTCCACCATTAAAGAAATCACCATTTATACATGCATGATGCGACAACACAGTTTAACTGCAGTAAAAACAAAAAAAAGAAACAATCCATCGTTTGACACTCAAACCAAGAGATTGCTTTTTTAAATGTTACTAGTTTATAATTGTTGAACCTAAACTTCATCTCTAGTACTTTTAAAGCTGCAGCAGGGTTAAGTGCTTGTCATCACTAAAGGCTGTGTAGAATCACAGCACTACTGTACTCAGTTTGAAAGACTTGGTTGAACTAGGGCTGAGTGATATCTTGTTATTTGACTGTATATCAATATATTTCTAAGTGAGATATAACACGGGTCAATATCGCTGGAATTCATATAGTTCAGTTTACTTTAAAAGGACAATACTGTATTTTAGCCACAAGTTTGCACCTGTTTCTCCTCTCTCTCTCTCCCTGAGTCCCTTCACATACTCAGCCTTTAGTCTCTGCCTCCCTCACCTTCACGCACAAGCCCCGCTCCACTCAGCGACAACCAGCAATGAGCGTTGCCTCGCTTTTGACGGTGCTGTGCTTACACACCAGACTGAAGCAGTTAGGGCATGCCCATTGCTCTCTCTCTCTTTATCACCAACTTGTTTGATTGGAGTGTCTGTGTGTTTATAATGCAGGAAATAGATTTGCATTTTTCTATCATTTTTATACATATATATATATATATCATTTTTTTCTTGTTTTTCTAAAGTGGTTTTATACATTTTTGAAATAACCGTTTGTTTTTAAAAGAGTTTGATATTGAATGAATAATATATTAAAAAAATATTAATATATATCAAGTATTCCCATTCAGCTAAAATACATCCAATTATGACTTGTTGCCTATATCGCTCTGTTGCGTGTTGTTTAAAAATAAGTGTAAAGACTTTTTAAGTTTTGTGAATGAGGCTGTGAGAAATCGTACCTCAGTTTTAGACCCACATGCCATCCTGTTGGTTTTTCCTACATCTTACTCTGTGGAATACAGAATTAAACAACTATAATTGCAGTGGTGTAACTGTCTGTATGGTTGAAGCTACTACTGCTGCAATGCAGGTGATTTGGAAATTTGGTTTTAATGTGACTAAATGAAAAAAAAAATCAACAACTCATTTTACCACACATTAATATTTCAAACATGAAGTGAATATGATACACGACTATATAAAGATGAGAGCTACATATTAATGGCTGTAGCTCTTAGTGCCGTCGGTCAGCAATTCCATCTTGGATTCAGGCTCTACAGAGCATTACACTTCATTGAATATCGCAGAGCTTTTATTGAAGCCACCTTTTGAAGTATTTAAAAGATTTGTCTCGGAGAACCTAACACTTACCACAGTGCTTTCTCTTCCCATTCTGCCCTGTCCATCTTTTGTGCTCTTGGCTCATTGAACCTTATTTCGTCCCTCTCTCTCTCTCTAGGCAGTGAAGAGCTAAAGAGGATGGCTCACTCTAAAGCTCGAGCTGCAGACGGGAAGGTGACCTACCCTCCAGGGGTCAAGGAGATATCTGACAAAATCTCCAAGGAGGAAATGGTTCGCAGGTTAAAGGTCAGTGACTTTCGACCCTTGAGCCGCAACTATTGATCGCATTGTTTAATGTTTGAGAAAAAATATAGTTCTACCACGAAGACTGAATGGTGTTCATTCTCCAGGCATCAAACCCATTAACCTTGTTTAACTTTTCATTCAGATGGTTGTGAAAACTTTCATGGACATGGACCAGGACTCAGAAGAAGAAAAGGAGCTGTACCTGAACCTAGCCCTCCACCTGGCCTCAGACTTCTTCCTCAAACATCCAGACAAGGATGTGCGTCTGCTGGTGGCCTGCTGTCTGGCAGACATATTTAGGATTTATGCCCCTGAGGCACCCTACACCTTCCCTGAAAAACTAAAGGTACCTTTGTTTCTCTTTTGGAATAGCTATGTCTAAAGTCCACATAGTTATAGCTTATAGCTATAAATCTGTTTCCCATTGTTGGACAAATAAAGAAAGTGTTGAAATACGAATTCTACTGTTGTGTTGCGCCTCTCTGCATGGGCTCCATGCCTGCAGGAGTGTCCAACCCCCACTTTGTGTGAAGCATTGTTTTGTATTCAATATGAAGCATATTCAATTATTCACAGGTTCATAAAATCATGTTTTTATTAAAAACCTGTGATATATATAAACATCAGTACCAGTGCAAACCCTCATGAGAGAATTTACCTAAATCTCTTTGAATAGCAGAGAGCACACTTTAAAGACTTCATCCACTGTACAGTACTTGATGTAAAACTTTGTTATTTTGTGTGCAGGACATCTTCATGTTTATCACCAGACAGCTCAAAGGCCTGGAGGACACCAAAAGTGCTCAGTTCAACAGATACTTCTACCTGCTCGAGGTGAGTGACTGAATGAGTCAATCAAAGTAATTAAGCTGGATTATAGTGTTTGTTTGTTTTGTTTTTTTTTAATCTCATCCATTACTAAATCTTCTTACCTGGTCACCACACACTGTACCAGAACTTTTCAAATCTAACCCGTCTTGACTTTTGTGACAAACTGTAAATGTGGATTCATTCATTCTGATCAGAGAATCAAATCGTGACTCTACAGTATTTCTGTGTGGACATTGTCACTAATATATTGCTTCCTCTCTCATTGCTCAGAACATTGCTTGGGTGAAGTCCTACAATATTTGCTTTGAGCTTGAAGACAGCAATGAGATCTTCACACAGCTATACAGGACACTCTTCCAGGTCATCAAGTAAGTTGTTTTTAAAACCATATACTTTTGGCTCGAACCTCCGTGTTTTTCTATGTTTCTTCCAAGGGGTGTAACCTATTCTTTTGGTACATACTTTTGGTATTGACATCATGCTTTTTGGCAATATTGTGTTGCTACATCTAATACCGACACAATTGGTTACTCATGTTTTCTGCAATTAAAGTGCAGAATGTAGTTTAGAGTAGACAGATACTGCACAGGAGGCTTTGCTCACAGACAAAACAGCAAAAACAAACAACTCATGGGTCAGGTTCTGAAGAAAGGGTTTGTCTTCGGTCTTTTTTATTACACGTCTCTGTACTAATACAATAGAGCTCTTTCTCTGTAGCACAATGTGTAGTAATAATAATAATGAAGGGATTGGTAAATAGAACGAGGATCAGTGTCTGGTGCAGGCATGGGCAAACTTTTTCACTTTCTTTAGGGCCGCAATGGGTCCTAAAATTTGACAGGGAGCCAGGTCAGGATCAGATAGATGGAGCGTTCGTATGAACCAAAACAAATGACGTGTAAAAGTCAGTCAGAAAAGGCTAAAATGCTAAAATACTTTCAGTCTTGTCTGTGCCATCTATTGGGGAAATGCAGGCATTGCAGGGGAAAGGCAGAAATGTAATGAAAATAGAAATTAATAACAATTTGTAAACGTTTGGTGGGCCATATTAAAAAGCCAAACGGGTTGCATCCGGCCCCCGGGCCGTAGTTTTCCCATGCCTGGTCCGGTGGGTTGATATGATCTGTCTCCACCCTGAGTCCCTCTGTGAATAAAGCTGTTGCATCTGCTGAGTGTTCCTCTTCACCGAGGCTTCACGTTGCTCTCCTAATCCTTGACATGTGCATGCACGCTGACATTTGACACAGATAAAAAAAAATAATGGCCAACATGTCTATTATTTAGAGCCTAAATGTGGTGCGCTGTTGTTCGCACCAGTTTCCAAACCCAAAGTTGCTCTCAGCCACGTGTTTCTCCAAGTATTGTTTGAAAAACACCTACTTAGGAGCAGGCAGGATCTCTAGGACATCTGCTACAGATATTTGCTTTCTCATGTAGAAGTAAAAAACCCATTGGTTGATTGAAGTGTTTCAATCAATACTCCCAGACGCACTGCCATGCTAACGCAGACAGGAATAAATAGGTGCAAAGATAGCACATCTTTAAATGCGAGCAGATGTGGTTTTTACAACCGAATTAAATTCTCAGTGAAATATTTTTAATCTACTGTTGTATTTGTGTGTAGTTAAAAAAAATAATACAGTGAAAATGCAATGGAATCACTGATGTGAAAATTGTTTAAAAATACACTTCACATTAAACACATTGTTTAGCTGCAAATCAGACCATTCTAAAACCTTTTCTTCTTCACTGATGCATCACAGAACGCCAACGCACAGTTGTGTTCTTGCTTGTTTCTCTTAATTGCCCCCCCTTCTTTCCCCTTCCTCTTTAAAACCCCACTCTCATTTTCACTCTGCTCAACACAACCTTATGGGCAGGGTTCTGCAGTGCCAGAGTTGGCCCCGTGCCTCTGGAACCAAATTGTGGCTGAGTAGTGCTTGTGTCAAGGTTGTGCCGCCTCAGTGTTCTGTTACACAGGGAGAATCTGAAGAGTCTCGCTTCCCATTTGAAATGTGTCCAGAGAGCAAATGTGGAGACACACAGGCAGACCTGAGTGTTTGTCTGAAACTAACACATTCAGTGGATAAGACATAATGACACTGATGATTCCTCAGTGTTGTCTTTCTCAGAGAGAGAAATTTGTTGTCCACAAAATACTTGCTGCCTCTAAAGTACCAGTCCTAGACTTTGATTAAAATCCCAAATCATTTCTGGTGGATCAGTCTAACTCCAACTTTATTCTGTCAGTTTTGATTTATTTATTTATTTATTTATTATTTCTTCACATTAGCTCTTTGAATCATCATTTGTTTTGCCGTATACATATTACTACATCACTTTGCACATAGCAACAGCAGCCATCTGTCACAGGATTGGTTCGATACTTAGTTCATAGGTGTTAAATGATGTACGTTTTCATTGTCCTAACTTTTTTTCTTCTTTGTTTCACTCATCAGCAATGGTCACAACCAGAAGGTGCACATGCATATGGTGGACCTGATGAGCTCCATCATCTGTGAGGGGGACACTGTGTCCCAGGAGCTGTTGGACACCGTCCTGGTCAACCTTGTCCCGGCACACAAGGTTTGTGCGCGGCGCCCTAAGAAGACGGGATAAGACAGAATACACACGCCTACAGAAACACACACGCACCCACAGTACTGAGATGACAATCTGAATTAGGTTTCCATTAGGTTAATTCAGTGAGACCCCTGCCGGAGAAAAGAGGTATTGCAGCTTTTTGCACATCACACTTCACGTCTTCATCGTGGCATTCCTTTCACTCATGGGGGGGCATTAGGAGGGAGAACAGATTGCATACACTTTCTTGTAATGTCAAATTGTATATTTTCTTTCTACTGTTTTTAATTTTATGTTTTCATCTCTTTAGAATTTGAATAAACAAGCTTATGACCTGGCGAAGGCTTTGCTGAAGAGGACAGCCCAGGCCATTGAACCTTACATCACCAACGTAAGACTGAAGTTTGGACTGTTCTGTTGATTTTGTCTTTATTCTTTACAATTTCTAAGTGAAGAAGTGATGTTTCTGGATGTAACTGTAGATATGGTACAGAAGCAAACCTCCCCCGAGTTCATCATACAGCTGTAGCATGAGTCCTTCTAATATATGACCACTCTGTAGCCTCAGAGTTGGCTCCGTGTATCTCAATGAGACAAGCATTTTTTATTCACAGCCAAGGTACTTGAATCCAGGCCAGTCCTTTTAGAAATGACTTGGCTCTGAAGGAGGCTCATAAAATAGTCTGGCCTAATGGTACAACATACATTAAAACCGACCATTGAATATAGAGCAGTTAATGGACCCTCATATTTACCCACGGCCTTATCTTGCCTTATCAGCGTCTCACACCTTTAAGTCCCTGTATATGATAGGTTAGAATAAAATACAAGGCAAACATTTTTTAAAGAAAATTAATTAATGTTTCATCTGTCACCAAAATCCTCGTCTTTTTTCCTCCATCAGTTCTTCAACCAGGTGCTGATGCTGGGGAAGACCTCGGTCAGTGACCTGTCTGAACATGTGTTTGACCTCATTTTGGAGCTTTACAACATTGACAGCCATCTGCTCCTGTCTGTGCTGCCACAGCTGGAATTCAAACTCAAGGTAATTGATCTGCTTAATTTAAACTCTATATTATTTTTATAATAAACAATTCTGCTGTTAATGTAGCTCATTGTGATCTTGTTGAAGTTTAACGTCTAAGCAAAATGCACTAAAAAAAACATTTGTTTTTCTTTTTCTTAAATCATGGTAATTCGTCTTAAATTTCTTAGAATTTATTGATTATTAAATTTTTATTTACTCATGTCAATGACCTGTCTGCATCCCAATGCTTTTTTTTTGTTTGTGAAAAATATTTAGATAAACATTTTCTGTCGTATGCAATATTCTTTTTCTTTATTCAAATGCGAATTGTCAGGATGTCAGAATTTTCCCATATGGAACGCTCTCTATTAAGCTACACAATGTTTTTGTGACGCTAATAAAACTAACCAGTTCGACACTATTTTGTTTCGCCACTGTTTGCCCCCTGAATTATGCCGAGTCTAAAATCTGTCACAAATAAGACATTAAATTACATATTGGTTTTTCATTGTGATATGAAATGGCTTTATTGAACACAAGCAGCTGTGATTCTTTGTGATGTTAATATTGATATTAGGAATAGAAACACGGCACAAAAAAAATTCTCTCTCTCCTTATCCTTTCAAATGCACACGTTCTCTTTGGACGTGTGTAACAGGACAATGAAGCAGCCAGACAGTCGGCATAATGTTGCGTCTGCACAGCCTCATAAAGGCGTCCTGCTGATGGATAACGCTCATTAACTGCTCACAGGGCGCGTGGATCACCTCTGTCTTCTAAAAAATAATAGCCATGATAAAAATCTTTTGCCTTCAAACTACCGGTGCTCATCGTTTTTTCTCTCTGTTAACATTGCCTACTTTCATCCTTTTCAAATTGGAGGAGTGACACTCTCCGCTTTCCCTTTGTAGCCTCTCTCTTATTTTACTTTACAACTTGCATAAACTCTTGTCATCCTTTTGATTGCATTTCTTCATCTCTGCAGTTTGAAATTGTTTGAAACTTCATTCAAAAAAGAAAAGAAAGGAAGATTGGTACTAAAGAAACTGCTTCCCTGGATGCTTTCAGTCAAAACAAAAACGCTGCCAGTGTTGTTAATGTAAACGACTTGGCTCATGTGTCCAATTGACGAATCCTGTGCTCATTTTTCCCCCCTCCCTCATTCTGCCTCTGTCTGCTGCCTCCCTCTGTCTCTGCAGAGTAATGATAATGATGAGAGGCTGCAGGTGGTAAAGCTGCTGGCGAAGATGTTTGGAGCCAAGGACTCGGAGCTGGCTGCACAGAACAAACCACTCTGGCAGTGTTACCTGGGGAGGTGAGGTTTTGGGGTGCAACGACTGCATAACCATGTCATCATAGATGTGGAGAGGAGCTGTTGTCTTTGAAAGTTTGTCTGTATTTGATTATGATGAAGTGTTTGACATAGATGCCTAAAAACAGTAAGTGTTTAATGCAGTTTGTGCATTTAGAGCTGGAAATGTCTGAGTTCTGAGTGCCTCAGGATTCAATAGTTCTGATTAGTAAATGATATTAAAACAATGACGTTGATACATAAGTAAATACATACTTTTTTGATACATATATTTTGATTCCTTTATGTTAGTGATTAAAATTAAATGATGTTGTATCATAATGCTCATTGATGCAAATGGAGCAGTATTAGAAGATAAACATAGTGACACTTCAAATATCTCATGAGTATTAGAAGATAAACATAGTGACACTTATATACAAATATCTCATGGAGGCACAGAATTCCACAGTTCAGAGTTAGTTAAACTAAGTTAGTTAGTTAGTATTAATGCTAGAGATGGAGCTACCAGGGAGGAGACAAAGAGGAGATGTATGGATGCAGTGAGGGAGGACATGCAGATAATTGGAGTCAGAGTAGAAGATGAAGAGGTAAAATGGACAACAATGATTCGCTGTGGCATCCCTTGAAAAACAGACAAGCCAAAAGGAAAAGATGAAGTTAGTTAGTTATTAAGTAAGTTAGTTAAATGGGTGATGGGTTGAATATGTGTCTCGTGTATCTGATGGGTTCAACCAGGCCTGTTTTGTGAAGAGATTTATATTTGTTTAGAAGACAAGATGGAGCAAAAACAAAACATTTCTTTCTTCCAACCCTAATGTGCATGTAAATCTGATGGGAATGTGGGTTTCTCTCTAAAAGGTTCAATGACATCCATGTACCCATCAGACTGGAGTGTGTGAAGTTTGCCAGTCACTGTCTGATGAACCACCCAGACTTGGCCAAAGACCTCACAGGTAAAAAAAAAAAAAACAACTAGATTTTCATTTTCATGGAACAAGAAACAAAAATTGTCCCTAGTGATGAAGTGCTCAGTGTTCTCGTGGCCAGCTCATTTATTTTTGTGTTTCTTTCTCAGAATTCTTAAGGGTCAGGTCACATGACCCGGAGGAGGCCATCCGCCATGATGTCATTGTCTCCATAGTAACCGCAGCCAAGAAGGACTTGTCTCTAGTCAATGATGCATTGCTTAACTTTGTGAAGGAAAGGACACTTGACAAAAGAGTGAGTGTCCAAATGTTCTTTCTGTTTTTATATTTTTTTTTTCATTTAATAGCTGCCAATGTTCCTCTGTCAACTCAAGAGGGAGGCCACACTAATAAAGTAACCAATTATCCCTGCACTCTGCTGCTCAATCAGATGATGATTCACGTTGTTTGTTCTTCTTCTTCAGTATTTTTCTAACATGCCTTTCTAATTTGGTGTTAAAATAGCGTCGGCCTGTTGGCGTGTGGGCCTTTTCTCGTCCAATTTGTGGTCCATTGGGACACGGAGCTGCCAGAGTATCACCAAAGACTTGTTATCTCATTATCCAGCTCTAACAGCTCCAGATTTTTCAGGTTGCTGTTTCTTCCTGTGCTGACAGTTGAATTTCTGTCTCCCCTGCTGAGCTTATCAAGGCAGAACAGCTGCCTGTTTCTGCCGCAGTGCTATATGTTAGCACTGAAATAGCTCTGTTGCAAAGAAATGATGATATATTCTATAATATATGTTCCATTTCAAGGGATATACTGTAGATTGACTATGATATACTGTAATCTTCATCCCTGCTGTAACCAATCTTGAATCTGTTTGCTCTGGGGGTGTGGGAAGTCTTTTGAATGTTGATTTTTACCAAGTGTTGACAGAATTCCTGACTACACTGTTTGTTTGTTTTTTTGTTGTTGTTTTTTTTTCCACCAGTGGCGGGTACGTAAGGAAGCCATGATGGGCCTGGCATCCATCTACAGAAAGTACTCTCTGCAGGGAGAGGGAGGCAGGGAGGCTTCGAAGCAGATTTCCTGGATCAAAGACAAGCTGCTCCATATCTATTACCAGAACAGCATTGACGACAGGTTTGTGTTCTCTTGAGTTAGAGTCGAAAAAGTGAGCCACAATGAAGCTGAGTAAAACATCTGATAATAATAATAATAATATTCACACAAACACAGAGTTTTAAAAGCTGAGAAACAAAGACAGAAGTCAATTCTATTTAATATTTCGAAAAGAATATACAAACAACACTTTATCTTAACTGTTTTTCTGCTACGTTTTTATATTAATAGTGTGATTTTTACTTGTCCACAGGTTACTGGTGGAACGTGTCTTTGCCCAGTACATGGTTCCCCACAACCTGGAAACAGCAGAGAGGATGAAGTGTCTCTATTACCTGTATGCTACACTGGACACAAACGCGGTCAAGTATGTTTTGTTGTGTTTTTTTTTTTATCTATTTCATTGTTGCGTTTGTTTCCATCTGACCTCAGTCTCTTTTTCTCTCAGAGCTCTGAATGAAATGTGGAAATGCCAGAATATGCTACGAAACCACGTCAAAGACCTGTTGGACTTAGTCAAAAAACCCAAGGTAGGTCTGCTTCAGCCAGAAAATGTTATATTTACTGAATCTTGTCTCTTACATTTCTTAACCATTCTTCTTTTTTATGTTCATTATTTACAGTCTGAAACCTCAAGCAAAGCTGTGTTTGCCAAGGTCATGGTGATTACGAGTAAGTGAACCCAAACACACACTCAAAAAACGTATTTTATGGTTGAGATTGCAAACCTAAAACCCTCAACTAAAACCTCTAATTCTTTTTGTTTCAAAGGAAATTTGCCCGACCCAGGCAAAGCCCAGGACTTTGTGAAGAAGCTGGCCCAGGTGTTGGACGATGATGAGCGAATAAGAGATCAGCTGGAAACTTTAGTCAGTCCCAGCTGCTCCTGCAAACAGGCTGAAGTTTGTGTGGTCAGTACGCACTCCTCTTCTGTTAGACTGGAACATGTTCATGTTTAGTTTCAATTAAATTAAAATGTAGAACTCATTCCAAGAAGAATTTTTATCCTGATGGAAATCAGTTCAGACTGGATTAAAATTCTTCTTACAATTCATTGTGAGCCCTTCCCATAATATTAAATTCAAAAGGATTATTCATGTTAATATTCTCTCAATTTTATGCTTATAGAAAGACATCACCAAAAAGCTTGGCAGTCCAAAACAGCCCAGTAATCCCTTCCTGGAAATGGTCAAGTTCCTTCTGGAGAGGATCGCTCCTGTACACATAGACACAGAATCCATCAGGTTTTTATCACTGTTAAACAAAAGTTAGTGTTTGGTTTTTCTTTTTCTTTTGGAAATATCTTATATCTGTTTTCTCTTCCTTCTCTCAGTGCTTTGATAAAACAAGTCAACAAATCTATAGAAGGGACGGCCGATGACGAGGAAGAGGGCGTCCCTACAGAAGAGGCCATCAGAGCAGGGCTGGAACTACTCAAGGTACAAAGCTGAGGAAGAGCTGTAGCAGCTGAAAATGTCCTGTAGGGAGAAGTAAATGAATAATAATACGTTTTCTAATACCAAAAATCCAATTCTTTCCCCTCAGGTGCTGTCGTTCACCCATCCCGTGTCGTTCCACTCTGCAGAGACGTTTGAGTCTCTGCTGGGATGTTTGAAGATGGACGACGAGAAGGTGGCCGAGGCTGCTCTGCAGATCTTCAAGAACACAGGCAGCAAGATGGAAGAGAGTTTCCCTCACATTAAATGGTAGGGTTTTCATTCACTCTCCACAGCTGGACGCCTGCCAGCCCACTCTAGCATTTGCTCATTTCAAATATACAGTAGAAATCTTTGTGCTAAGTTCTCTCTGCTGGGTTTTTTTTATGTTCTTCTCCTCCTGCTCCCCCAAGTGTTTTACTGCCAGTGCTGCAGGCGAAAGCCAAGAGAGGCCCGCCTCGCCAGGCCAAGTATGCAATCCACTGCATCAATGCCATGTTCACCAACAGAGACACACACTTTGCCCAAATCTTTGAGGTCAGTCAGTCAAACATTTGTTTGCTTTATTTCTTCATTGCTTATGCAAATTATTTCGCTTAGTTGTTCATTGATGTACAGTTAGAAGAAAATAACTAAAACAAATCACTCCGAGGTTTAAGTTTTATATATATCTATATCTATATCTATAGATATAGATATAGATATAAAATAAGTCTTGAACACATTGTCATTTTATTTATTTTTTCATCTCTTCAGCCTCTGCACAAAGGCCTGGACACTTCTAACCTGGAGCAGCTCATCACTCCCCTGACCACCCTTGGTCACCTGGCACAGCTGGCCCCAGAACAGTTCGCTGCACCGCTAAAATCTCTAGTTGCCAACTTCATCGTTAAAGATCTGCTCATGAATGACAGGGTACACACTGTAGCTACAGTAAATAATCCAAATAGTTCATTCTTCATTGGTATTTATTTGTTCAAATAAAATATCAGTACTGCAGTTTGTATATTTGGCAGTAACTTCTTTTCTTTTCCTTAGATTCCAGGCAAAAAGACGACCAAACTTTGGGTTCCGGATGATGAAGTGTCCCCGGAGACCATGGCCAAGGTCTGCATGGTCTTGTCTTTAACTTCTTTTTAAAGACAGTTCTCCCTGAAAGGGAACTAATACTTCCAGAGACTTCATCTTTTATCTGTGATCTTTGTGTGATTTGTGACTTCCTGTTTGCCTCTGTTTAGATCCAGGGCATTAAGCTGATGGTCAGGTGGCTGCTGGGAGTGAAGAACAACCAGAGCAAATCGGGCAACTCCACCCTGAGGATGCTGACTGCAATACTGCACAGTGACGGAGACTTAACAGAACAGGGACGGATGGGGTAATGCTCCCGTTGTGCTTCTATCGTTCTCGTAAACGATTAATTTTTACATGTTTTAATTTTTTTAAAGTTTGTCTCAGGCTGTAATTCATACTAATCTTCACATCTTTTTGCCCCTGTCTCCCGTCTCTCATCTCCTCCCTCTTGCCCTGCAGTAAACCAGACATGTCCAGGCTGCGGCTGGCAGCAGCATGTGCCCTGCTGAAGCTGGCTCAGGAGCCTTGTTATCACGAGATAATCACGCTGGAGCAGTATCAGCTATGTGCCCTCGTCATCAACGTGAGAGCTCCCTTCTGTATTTTACCAATCAGGAGGCGTTAGACTGTCACCATTGAACTCTATTCCACTTTTGTTCACCATTTTCATCACAACTCCTCCTCCCATTCACTGCCGTTTCTCTCCTCTGTGTCTTTCTCTCGGCTCTGTAGGATGAGTGCTACCAGGTGCGACAGTGTTTTGCTCAGAAGCTTCACCGCGGCCTGTGCCGCCTCCGTCTTCCTTTGGAATACATGGCAGTGTTCGCTCTGTGTGCCAAGGATCCGGTGAAAGAGCGGAGAGCTCACGCTCGCCAGTGTCTGGTGAAAAACGTCAACATACGGCGAGAGTACCTCAAACAGCACGCGGCCATCAGTGGTGAGTGACAGTTGGAGATGCTTCGGTTACCAAAAGTGTAGACAGACAAAAAATATTAAGATCATTAAGATCATTATGATCATTATGATGACTAGTTTTGGACAGAACCACACAACCGGTCCTGTGAAGTTTCTGCATGAAATGTAAATATTCAGGTGAACAAAGACACTAAAGTGTTTCATCTCAACCAACAGACAAGCTGCTGTCTCTACTTCCTGAGTATGTAGTGCCGTACACCATCCACCTCCTGGCACACGACCCCGACTACGTCAAAGTACAAGACATCGAACAGCTCAAAGAAATCAAAGAGTGAGTGGTGAATGTGGTAACACACTGCACACGTTTTGGTTAACTCCTACAGCATTAGAAAAATGTAAAGGTTTACGGCCCAGTGTTGAACAGGAACTTGTTTTAAAAAAAAATTCATGTTTGATGATGTCAAACTGTCTGTCTCCACAGGGCTCTGTGGTTCGTTCTGGAGATCATCATGGCCAAGAATGAGAACAACAGTCACGCCTTCATCAGGAAAATGGTGGAGAATATTAAACAGACGAAAGACGCTCAGTGTCCCACCGATGTCAAAACTAATGAGGTCCCAACCATATTCTCTTGACCTCCTGATCTGTGTGTGTATAACTAAGCAACCGTCACCTGACTGGACTTTTTTATGCTTTCGCTTTACAGAAGCTGTACACGGTGTGTGACGTAGCCATGAACATCGTCATGTCAAAGAGCACCACCTACAGTCTGGAATCCCCGAAAGATCCTGTGCTGCCTTCAAGTTTCTTCACTAAACCAGACAAGGTTGGAGATTCTTGACTGATTCCTTTTAAAAATGGAATGATCAAAGGGTTTCTTAACCTTCTTGACTTTGACGCGGGCTGTCCGTCCAGAATATACCTACGCAAAAAATCAGTCCTCATTTTAAGTTTTGAGAACTTCTTCATACTTTTTTCAGTCTTCCTATTTGTATATTTAAGCTTGTTAAAGAAGTGAATTATGCATTGCTGCCACCATGTGGTCAAAAGCTACTTTGTTATTGAGCTTCTCAGAACATCTCTGGTGTCTTCAGTTGATCTATGTAGTCCTTTGGCCTTTAGGTGCAAAACTGTAGGTTTTTTGCAGCCCTCACAGTGGTGCTGGTAGCCCAAGTTTGGGCCGCTGCCCTGTGGTTAAGAATCACTGCTGAAGGGTATACATTTTAAGGACTTTTTAAAATTGCTTTGCTGCAAGTTACTGTTTTGTTCGTATCATACTTCCCAGATGTCGGTCTGTCCAGACTCAAAACTTTTCTGACTGTTTTTACAGTTTTTGTGAATTGTGTGTTTCAGAATTTCAGCAACACAAAAAATTATCTCCCAGCTGAGATGAAGTCGTTCTTTACACCAGGAAAGGTAGGATTATTTAGTCATCAAAAAGATTTACTTCCTAAATAGAACAAAAAAATCAAGTTAGTCCTTTTTTCTTCTCAAGCCCAAGGCGGCCAACGTTTTAGGCGCAGTAAACAAACCGCTGTCATCGGCCGGGAAACAGATTCAGAGCAAAGCTTCTCGTATGGAAACCGCCAGCAACGACGACTCCTCGTCCAACCCGGGTTCACCACAGCGCACCAAGACCAGGTAGAAACCACATTATTTACATGGTTCAGTACAGGATGTTGATATTGTATAGTGCAAATAAAAACATCTGTTTTATCTTAGGCTCGACAGCAAAGAAATGGATCACAGTGAAAACGAAGATTTCAGCCTGAAGAGTTTGGACAGCACTGACAAGGTAGGAAATGAATTTATTTTAATACAGTGACAACAAACTGTTTTCAATAGGTACATTTTTATGTAGCAGTTTGTATTTAAAGAATCCTGGGAGAAGAACTGACCAGATCATAAATGACCAGGTAGTTTAGCAGAAGCACAGAAACAGGTGTTGCTGTGGTGCGGTGAAGTGCCGGCTGCTATAAAACTCCCGTGTATCTGTGTTTTGATTCCACTGTGTAAACAGCAGCTGGGTTTAAGTCGAAGATGGGATCAGTGAGAACACGTTGTGTAAACTGTCATAAATAACAGCCTCCACATCTGCTGAATCACCCTTTGTTTAATAATCTCCTCAAGAGTTCCTTGGAAAACAGCTCTGTGAAGGTTCTTGTACATTGTCCTATTAGAAAATACATGTGGGTTTGTTTACAGGAAATTGAAAAACCCCGGGGTCGCAAACGCGGCGTCACCTCCGCTGATGACCAGGACAGCAAACCCAAGCGCGGGAGGAAAAAGGCCTCGGTGAACACAACTGCGGTAGCCGAATCTGAGGACTTATGGGACGAAGACAACCGGCCGGAGGACGAACAGAACAGCCCGCCCAAAAAGCGCAGGGGTCGCCCTCCGAAGTCTGCGTCCAGTCAGGACACGCCTGTCAAGGGGAAAAGAGGAAGGAAGAAGGCAGCGCCGCCACCCGAGGATGACGACGAAGATGAGGAGGAAGAAGAAGAGGAAAGGGAAGAGGAGGAGCCGGAGGAAGAGGAGGAAGAGGACGACGACAGGAGCAGCGAAAGTATGGAGGTGAAGAGCAAAGGAGGAAGGCAAACGAGGACACCGCGGCGATCACAGGGGTAAGACGGCGACAGGCTGGTCCACAAAGACGCGCCTTCAGCCTCTGCTGCAGTTTTAACTTCTCTTTGTCGTCCAACAGCTCTGACTCGACAGAGTTCACACCACAGAAGAGGAGAGGACGTCCACCCAAATCAGCCCAGCCACCTGCAAAGAAACCAGCGTAAGATGCTCAGCAGATTTTATTTTGGAAAAATGATTTCCAAAGCACATTTCTGCATCACAGTGCAGGATTTGAAATACTGTGGAAAAATACTTCTTCAGATCAGTAAAAGAACTTTGGCACCTCTGGCAGGTTTTTTTATAGAGTTATAGGGCCATCTACTGCCACCTAGTGGAAGATTATTTAGAATTGTATAATTTTCCACATTGCACTAATCAGCATCAACATCAAACGTTTCACTGCACCAATCCAACACTGCCCTAGTGTTGCTTTTAAGGCCTCTGTGCCAGCACATGTCCATGTTGAACACTTGCTCTCCTGTTTTTTCTCTCTCCTGAATGCAGTGTAGTGATTTTCCACTGACTCTAATGAGTCAGGCTGCCTCTGTGGTGATGTCACTGTGTGATCTAACATGAAGTCTCATTGATATGATAATCCAGTCTGATTTATATGTGCGTGTGTGTGTATATCCCCCGTAGCCGTGGTGGGCGATCGAAGGCAGCTGCTTCTAAAGACGACTCTGGGGAGGAAGATGAAGAGGAGGAGGAACAGGAGGAGGAGCCAACGCCCAAGGTACAGACTGGATGGATGAATCATAAATCATTTTAGAGGGTTCTGCCTCTCCACACAGTAGCTAATAAGCAGCTTCCTGTCGAAGTTTCACCATATTGCGTCCCACCTTTCGTCTCCCCCAGGGTCGTAAGAAGGCAGCAGGGCGACGAAGATGAGCTCGAACAGGAACAACGACAGGAGCCCTTGCTTTCTTTTACGCTAAAGTCTTGGAGGAATGTTGTAGGAAAGAAAAAAAAAACATGGACATGAACTTTTTAAACTTTTCATACGCCGATGCCCCCTACTGTTACACAGGTTCACACACTTGCATATGCCACACGCACACTGCGTCAGTACACCCCTGCCATCAGCTGTGGTTCGTTGCGTTGTGCTGCATTGTGACGACGTTTGCCACATTAAGTAGATCTACTTTTAACAGGAAAAAAAATGACAAAAAATCCCTTCTTGTAAATAGTCTGGTGTTTGTTTCATGTTCTGTTGTTGTGTTTTTGATGCTGACTGGACGGATGCTGCACAGCCTTTACCCACTCTTATTATTGTTATTATTATTAAAGTGCTCCCATAAAGCATTATCAATGATCAATGCTCCCACTTTGTCCTCCTTTTAAAGAGATTAACCTTTACCATGGTCATCTTGTGTGATGTCATTTTATTTTGGAAGGACGACATAAATTTTTGTAAACGCTCTTTTTTTTTTACTACGTATTAAAAAAACGTTTCTGAGCTATGTCCCAACATGGTTGCCCCTGGAAGAGAATGTAGTTTTCACCTCATGTTTAGGTTTGTATTTACTGATAGACGGAAGTCATGAGCAGCTGTGGTTTGTAGTGACGGTCACCGCTGATGAACTCGGCCTCGCATCCACCCAGTCACATCATCTGTTCTATCAATATAATTCTCTATAAAACCTGACCTGTTTCACTTCTCTTTATTTCACCTTCACGTTTCTGTGGAGGTTGTTCAATCATTGATGGCAGAAAAAACAATATTTTCACATTCATTTCTAAGAGTGGAATTAAATTAAAAAAATAGTTTATTCAGATATTTGCAATCCCAATATTTAATGGGCTGGTTCTCAAATCGTTTTGTCTATAAAAAAAGTGAATGCTAACACTGAGCCTGCTGCAACAAGAAAGACAAACGGTTACTAACCAGCACCTGCAGTGAGGTAACAGTTATTAGCAGCCAGAGCAGTTAAACCAGGAAGTGATGCCACTTCCTCCTCTGTTTGCTTATCACCATCCCAACATCCTCATCCTGCGAGCTCGCTGGGCTTCAGCTGATGTGATGAAGATGCAGATGGACCCCCCCTTATTTATTTATTTATTTATTTATTTATTTATTTATTTATTTATTTATTTATTTATTTATTTATTTATTTATTTATTTATTTATTTATTTATTTATTTATTTATTTATTTATTTATTTATTTATTTATTTATTTATTTATTTATTTATTTATTTATTTATTTACAGATGTATCAAATTTAAATGGATTATTGGTTTTATGGGCCAGCTGAGGACCTGTGATGATGATGATGCAGTTATTGACGTCTGGTGACAGCTTTTGCACCTGGGTCACTCTCTGTCTGAGGAGAGCAGGTCGCCCCCCTCCCCCCACCATTTTATTCATTTAGTTTTTATTACTGTTAATTACATAAGGGCAATTAACCTGTGCATTTCACCCATCTGTGAAACATCCCAGGGATTAACACCAGACACACTTGGAAGTGCGTGCTTGCTCAACGTTCCACTCAGCTCTTTAACGGGATTCGGAACGATATTAAATATATGTGCAAATGTTTTATTACTCTTCCAGACAACACATTACTGACAGGCATATGTTTACTGCTCCTCGTGTGGCCCATTTCGGCCAGGTCGGTCATTTATTCGGGCCTGTCAACATCACGTCGTGCTCACAGACCCTGGTGCGTCATGTGCCCCCGGTTAATGACTGACAGACTCAGAGAGACGCCGTGTCCCTGCTCCACAGCTGGCTCCCCACTCTCCACAGACCTGCTGCTTCACTGACCGCACACAGCGGTCAACACGGGCCATGACTTCCACGCTGGCCCTCCTGACATTAGCGGCCCTCGCGGCCTCCGGGGCCACGAAACCTAACGCGGGTTTGAAAACGTGGAGTCGCTTCAGTAAGCTGCCGGATCCCGAGGACAAGGTTTTCCTTTATGACACCTTCCCCAAAGACTTCATATGGGCCGTGGGCACCGCTGCCTACCAGGTGGAGGGCGCCTTTGAGAAGGACGGGAAGGGTCTCTCCATCTGGGACACTTTTACGCGCGGCGGGAGCAGGATGGCGACCGGCGACGTGGGCAGCGACAGCTACCACAACATCCACGCGGACGTCCGCGCCATCAAGCAGCTGGGGGTCAGTCACTACCGGTTCTCTCTGTCATGGTCCAGGATATTTCCCAACGGAACCCGGGGGAGTTACAATAAAATCGGCACCAACTACTACCGGACACTGATCAAGAAGCTGAAGGAGATCCGCGTCCAGCCCCTGGTCACGCTGTACCACTGGGACCTCCCCGAACACCTGCAGCAGCAGCTGGGCGGCTGGAGCAACCCGGAGCTGGTGGACATCTTCAGGGACTATGCTGACTTCTGTTTCCAGACCTTCGGGGATGATGTGAAGTACTGGATCAGCATAGATAACCCGTTTGCTGTGGCCTGGCACGGCTACGGTACAGGAGTGGTGGCTCCCGGGATTAAGAACGACTCTGACCTGCCCTTCAGGGTTGGACACAACCTGCTGAAGGTGACTGCAGGATCAGGGTTCACTGAAAGAAATACTTTTTAGTCTGTTCTTTCTACTTTTTATTATGAAACGTCATAATGACGTTACAAATTACTATTGGTAACCATGACTATTTTATGGTGTTTTTAGTGACATGTAAACATGTAAAAAAAATTCAACATGAATTTTTTTCATTGATGTATGGATTTGGGGACTGGAAGATCTTTTGTGGACAAAAAAATCAAACAAAATACGGATAAACTATCAGATGCCTATCAAATACTACCTCAGTATTCAGAGTATCTCAAAATTACTAGAGTAACTTATGTTATGGTATGTGTTATGAGAAAAAATAATATCTCATTGTCTATACAGTGTGTAATGTCTCTTTGTTTTGATTTACCATGTGTAACATGGTGTAACACATTAGGTCATTGTTGCCCAAAGACTGGGTCGCGACCCTCAGTTGGGTCTCAAGATTTTTTTTTTTTTGGGGGGGACGTCTCGCTCATGTTTCCCAGGAGTTTATGAATAATATCTATTGACTTGGGTCGCGAAGGTTTGTGACTTTTAAAATATGGGTCCCCAGAAAAATAAGGAAGCACTGCCCTAGTTTGTCCTTTAATGTCCTCACTTCATGTCTCTCTTTCTTTTTTTCTCTACATTTTCCTGCCCCCAGGCTCACGCCGCTGCCTGGCACCTCTACCACCAACACTACCGCCCCCGTCAGCGGGGGCAGCTGTCCATGGCACTGGCCTCTCACTGGATTAAACCTAAGCACACGCGCCTGGAGAGCCAGAGAGAGTGCCAGTGTTCCCTGGAGCACGTCCTGGGCTGGTTCGCTCACCCGCTGTTCACAGACGGAGACTACCCTCCCTGTATGAAGGCCCGGCTCGGTCCACGGCTGCCCGCTTTCACACAGGAGGAGAAGGAGCAGGTGAAGGGGACGGCCGACTTCTTCGCCCTCTCTCACGGGGCGGCGCTCAGCTTCCACCTCATCAATGACAGCTTGAGGTTTCGGCAGCAGGAGGAACTGGACCTGAGGATGCTGCTCTACTGGGTCAACGCCGAGTACGACAAGCCGTCTATCTTCGTGGTGCAGAGCGGTTGGTAGGTTCGGGTGCGCCGTCTCCCGGCCGGTCAGGTGGAGTGTTCCTGGTTTCACGTGCGCTACTTTGTTTCCAACACAGGTATGTTCGTAGCAACACTAAGACAGAAGACCCCAAACACGCCTACTACCTGAAGAGGTTCATCGCCGAGGCCTTAAAATGTGAGTCCTGACACAGAACTGTGACACCAAGACCCTGACGGACGTCTGTGACGTCAGCTGTGTTTGTCATGCCCACAGCCATCGTCATCGATGGAGTGAACGTCATCGGATACACAGCCTGGTCTCTGATCGACGGCTTCGAGTGGAGCAGGGAATACGGGATTAGGCGAGGGCTTTACTACGTTGACTTTAACACGCCTGACATGAAGAGGGAGCCAAAGACATCGGCCACTTTTTACAGGTGACTATAAACGTGAAGAAGCGGAGTGGAACACTGACGGTCTGTGATTCATACAGTATCGCCTGTAGATTTAACCTTGATTTTAGGAGAACCCTGACTATTTATAACAGTTGTTGGTGTAAATGTAACCTTGGTTTCAGATTTCAAATTATTCGTTATTCCCTCAGGAAAGTCATCCAGAGAAATGGTTTCCCAGAACTCCCAGAGAACAGACCAGTGCAGGGAGTGTTTCCATGTGATTTCGCTTGGGGTGTTTCTGCCAACTCCATACAGGTATTTGTTGTGTTTTTTTGTGTGTGTGTGATGATGTTGCCAACTCCATACAGGTATTTGTTGTGGGTTTTTTTGTGTGTGTGTTGATGTTGATGATGATGATGAACTGTAATAGCACTTTAACAACAGGTCCATAAAGAATTGAATTGTGCTATTATTTAATTTTTTTTTTTAAATTTCATTGACAATTTTCTTTTTTATTATTATGATTAATGTTGATTTGAACTAAATGACTAAATCTTTTTAGAACTAAATTTCTTTTTCTCTTTTTTTTTCTTTATTTTAGTTTTTTTAGAACTACATTTTTTTTCTCCTTTATTTTTGTCAAATATACACTAGAGATTACACTGGCAAACGGGAGAGTGAGTGAGAAACACAGGAGGAAAACCTTAGCTGTGTATTAACGTACACTAAGACTCAGTAATGTTTAATTGAAGTTAGTGAGTAATTAATTGTTCAACTGTTGTTAACCCTTTGTGTGTGGTAAAAAAAATCTAAAGGAACACAAACACCAAACTGTACTGGTATGAATTCATACTGTTATTAATAAGGGTTTCTTACGTTTTCAGATTGGTCTTCATGTAACAGCCTAACTTTGTTGGTGTTTTTCTTTTTTTATCACATCAGTTTGAACTTGGACTTTTGGTGGTGAAAGTCCACTTTGGCAGCGACAGTGAATCCTCATTAATCATAAACCACATGACCTCACAGACTCACTGTTTCTATTGATCTGCCCTACTTCTGTTTCATTAGGAGTGCATGTGTTTACACCAGGTGTGTTGTTCTCCCCTCGTGTCCCAGGTGGAGACCACGCCCAGCCAGTTTACTGACACCAGCGTTTACCTGTGGAACATCTCCAACAGCGGAGCTCTGATGAAGGTGGACGGCTTCAGCGTGCCGCCGTTGAGACGAGGCGCACACTGTGCCGACTACGCCACTATTCGACAGCAGGTTTGGTCTCACGCTGTCTACTGAATAATGTTTTGTGCCAGTTTTATATTTTTGTACAAATAAGGTGGTATTGTTCTTCCAAACATGTGCTTGTGGGTGAGAACCCACGTAGGAGGTCCAAAGTTGTGTCTCATCTGTCTCTTCTTCTCTGTGAAGGTGGAAGAAATCCGACAGGTGGGTGTGAACCACTTCCACTTCTCCCTGAACTGGTCGGCTCTGGTGCCCACGGGCGACGTGGCCCAGCCTAACACCACTCTGCTGGGCTACTACCGCTGCTTCGCCCGTCAGCTTCTCAAAGCCAACATCACCCCGGTGGTCACTCTTTGGCACCACACGAGACAGGGCAGCAGTCTGCCAGCCCCCCTGGACACTGAGAACCAGTGGCAGATCAGGTCAGACTCACACTGAAGAATGAAACTTTGACATCAGCACGGAAAAAAACAGCATTCGGCGTCTTTGTTTCAGAGAGACTCCTGAGGCGTTCGCAGACTACGCCAGACTCTGCTACAGAGAACTCGGAGCTCATGTGAAGATGTGGATCACTCTGAACGAGCCCAACGACGAGATGGTCAGCTACCAGGAAGGTCATCAGATGCTGCGGGCACACGCTCTGGCCTGGCACGTCTACGACCGCGAGTTCAGGCGCAAGCAGGGTGGACAGGTGAGTCCAACTGAGGTCTGGGTCGCCCAAGAGTCCAGTCTTTGGTGGTGCCAAGGAAGAATGATGTAATATTTATTTAATATTTAATATTAATTAATATCTATAACAGAGAGTCACTGAAGGAAAAGATGGTGGTGCCAAGGAAGAATGATGTAATGGCTGATCTGTGGCTCCAGGACAGAGAGTCACTGAAGGAAAAGGTTCAGGTTAATTCTGAATTATTTTTTTTAGGATTTTGAGTAAGAGTGACAGCGAAAAATGATAGAAACTGCAGATATTTTTGCAGATTTATTTTTCAAAAAACTGATATTTGTCAGACTATCAGATGCACAGGAAGGTTCTTTTCATTTAGAACCTCATTCCAGTCACCACGGTCGCCCAAGAGTCCAGTCTTTGGTGGTGCCAAGGAAGAATGATGTAATGGCTGATCTGTGGCTCCAGGACAGAGAGTCACTGAAGGAAAAGGTTCAGGTTAATTCTGAATTATTTTTTTTAGGATTTTGAGTAAGAGTGACAGCGAAAAATGATAGAAACTGCAGATATTTTTGCAGATTTATTTTTCAAAAAACTGATATTTGTCAGACTATCAGATGCACAGGAAGGTTCTTTTCATTTAGAACCTCATTCCAGTCACCACGGCACTGACCTGTGTCCTGTGTGTGTGTCTGGTAATTAGTCTCACTCGTTACACCTGGTGTCCTGTTGTGTGCCTCTCCCTCATCAGGTCATTGTTGGACTTCTGTTCTGTGTCTGTCTGTCGTTTTTTCTTGTCTGGCCTGAGTGTTCCTAGCCCAGTTGGAGTCTGGTTCTTTTCTGTTTGGCCTTTAATCAATAAAATGACTCAACCTGATTTCTGATCCTGGAGTGCTGCATTTGGATGCCTCCTTCACCTTCCTGTACCAGAGAGAACCTGTGACTGAGTTCTGTCTGGAAATGTTTCATAATTACCCATTATATCGGTTAAAATATATTAAAAAATGACCAAAAATATTCCATCGGTCCATCTCTAAAAAACAGCTGCTGTTGTGTCTCAGGTGTCTCTGGCTCTGCACATGGACTGGGTGGAACCAGCCTTCTCCTTCAGCCGTGAGGACGTGGAGCCAGCTAAAAGGGTTCTGGATTTCCGTGTGGGCTGGTTTGCGGAGCCCGTCTTTGGCAGTGGAGACTATCCTCTGGGAATGAGGAGCTGGCTGCGTCAACTCAGCTCACTCAAGTATGAATGTGAATATGTCATCAGTGGAGCTAATTAGTGAGCTGTAGGACAAATGTCCGTCTGAAGGACAGCTCAGTGCTGAGTCGAGTACAGATATCATGGTGTTACTGGTTTATATATATGTGTATAACCTGGTGTTTCCACAGACTGCCAGTGTTCAATAAGGAGGACAGAGAGCTGGTGAAAGGAACCTATGACTTCTTTGCCCTCAGTCACTTCAGTACCAAGTTGGTGACTCGGGCCAAGGAAGACTCGTAAGAACTTTTGTTTTTCTCTCTTTGTTCATACTTGCACAAACCCCAAACTAACATTCTTGTACATTCCTGCCTCCCCTATCGGGCGTCTGTATCTCTGTTTATCTTCTCTACATGTGCAGGTACACCTACAACGAAATGCTGGAGGTCCAACACATGATCGACACCACCTGGATCATGTCCCCCAGACCTGTTGTTCCCTGGGGCCTGAGGAAAGCCCTGAACTGGGTGGGAATGAAGGGTCACTGTTACTAATTTATTAGTGATAACTGACCAAATACTGTTCATTATTCTGTCACTTAACCTAGACTTTTACTAGGGTTAATAATATTTAAATTATTAGTGTACATACTTAATGATGTAGAATTTATGATTATTTTTATAACTTGTTTTTATTCCTGAATGTTCAAACCCTGATGTTTCAGTTTTATTTCCTGTTCATTACTGCCTTGTATTATACTTCTATTTCGCCATCTCTAATGTACAATATTATTTTCTTTATTGTTTATCATGAAGAAAAAAGAGTGAATTGAGAAATCTATTCTGAACTTTCAATAATTTAGCCATAACAGTTGGATATTAACATTTTGTCAAAGGTTATTAAAATTCTTCCTTCCTCCTGCGTCAGGTGAAGGAGCACTACAGTGACGTACCGGTCTACGTAATGGCCAACGGGGTCCAGGAAGACCCAGCCCGTTTCAAGGACAGCCTGAGAGTCTACTACCTGTACAACTACATCAACGAGGCACTGAAAGGTGACAACACAAACACACACATTTCTGTTGTTCTAATTTTAGTTGGTCAGCTCCTCCTTCACTGGTCACTGAATTCACTGTAGGAGCTAAAATATTAGACTAGTATTTACAGGAGGTCACTGACCTCAGAGTGGTCAGCTGGTCAAGAACACACATGAGGATCAGCAGAGCTACACAGGACCGGGGTTATCAACTCGCGGTACAGTCATCTGTCCTGGTAATTAATTCTGGGCCGGAAGCCGAGTCACGCTGTAAAAACCCGCTGACTTTGTTATTGTATTTGTTATGGTGCAGCTCTGCGCAGTTTGGTGAACATGCAGCACTTTTTATTCTAACATAACATTTTCTGGACACTGGTATAACAGTAGTAGTTTTGTCTATGAAAAAGCTACCCAGGTAAGAAAAATAAATAAATTAATAATGACTACTTAAATATTCACACTTTCACATTTATCGTGATATTTGCCTGTGTTTATTTACCATTTACCAAGTTGATTCCTACACACCAAAGAAAGGTCCTCCATGAAAGAGAAAATATTTGTGAACATAATAGCTGAAGTTTCCTCCTCCCCTTCACAGCCTACATTCTGGATGGTGTCAACCTAAAGGGCTACTTTGCGTACGCTCTGAGTGACCAGAGAGACCCAGGCTTCGGTTTGTACGGCCAGGTCCATGAAGAGGTCATCGACAAGGCCTCTCTCTTCAACTATCGCAACATTATCCAGCACAATGGCTTTCCCGTCCAGGGAGCCGCACCGCAGCACTGTCCCAGCTCACAACAGCCCTGCCTGGGCTGCCACCTGCTGGTGAAGTGGCCGGTGCTGGGCTTCTTGACTCTGGTGGGTTTAGGTGTTATCATCACCTTGTGTCTCATCATTTACTACACAGCTAAGAGACACAAGTCTGAGTGTTACTGAGGAGTTTTGACTCTAGGATTTTTTAAATTTCTTTTAGCAACTCATTGTTGATCAGCTGAGATTTTAGTTATTTTTTATTGTTAGAACGCCTGTGAATTTCTTATGAAGCTGTCAGATCAGTAAACTGCAGCAGTGAGCTATTGAATAGTTATGTTTGCACTGGACAGAACCTATATTGAATCAGCCAATAAGCTGAACCCTGTGATTTGATTGGCTGACGCCTCTGTCACACTTTGTTGAGCAAACAAACCTACAGAAGGCAGAAGTGTTTCCACAGGTCACATCTCAAACACAGGTGGTTTGAAAAAACAAGTTTAAAAAATAACTAGGAATGTTTTTAGAATGTTATGTAATAACTATTAAAATTCTTTATTTAAATTAATTTGTGTCACTACCACCCATAGCAGGTATTGTACAGTTAAAATAAATTATATAATAATTTGTATATATGTGTATTTCACTATTAACTTGCACTGCCTCAGCTGGAAGCCAAGAGAGCTGCTTATACTAGATTTTCTAGAAGTTCATCAGTCCTCTAATGGTTCATCTCATGTGTCCAGGCTATTTTTACTCCACCATGCTGCTAAAGTCATTCTCTCTCATACAACTCCACTGGATTGTTTTAAATTGTATTGATGTATTTAGTGTAACCATACACAATTCAATGTTTGTGATATTTGTTGGTTTAGCACAAATAAATATGTTTAAACCTCTGAAGATGGAGAACGTTTTATGATCGATAACATTCAACAAAAATCACCAGAATAAAGCAAAAATACTCAGGTGTTTCTATTAACGTAACTTGAAGTATAAACTCAGTATTTAGACAGCATGAACCCAGAGGAACGAACAAATATTTATTGTAACGCAGTCAAGTCAACGCACACATCATTCCTGTTTGACTTAACAAATTCCTGTTTTGTTTAGAAATGGTCCAGAGCTGATTGTTGTAACAAAGCAAAATAAGACAAGGGGTTTGAATCTTTTAGTCTGTTCTTTTTTCTCTTTTTGCTCAAAACATCATGTCATCCAGGCCGTCTTCCATAAACTTCTTGTACATGGCCATAAACTTGGCAGTGAAGGCCTCCAGGTGGTAGATGGCTTTGTTGCCCAGCTGCAGCCGGTGTTCATAATGTGCTGCCATGTGGGAGACTTCAGTCTTCAGCTGTCCGTCACAGTTGTTCAGCAACTCTCTGACCAGGCCCTGACCACCGATTGGACAGGGAGGATTAAAATACATTACACTGATGTTTTTGCAAACAGTGTGACGTCGGAAAAGACCAACTGTACCTTCATGATGATCTCAGGAGGAATGCAGTGAGTCAGCAGCTCGTACAGTCGAGCTCGAACCTCCAACAACCTGGTTGAAGGACAAACAGTTTCAGCTAAATGTTACTGACTTTCTAACAGGCTCAGTGAAACACTCTGGTCTTCTTCTACCTCTGGGGGCTCTGTTGGCTCACAACGGCATTGGCCGTTTCCCTCAGGTACACTTCCCAGTCCGTCTCTGGAACCTCTTGATCTACTGAGAAGGGATACCTAAAATACCACAGCCTCGGTAAGTTCCTAAACACTTCTGTTTTAATATGCCACACACTAATCTGATGTTATTTCAGTGATGTAATGACAACTCACTGGTGCACTCTACAGGCCTCACACATCAGAAGAGCTTTACGAAGGTTGCGTCCTGACTTCTCACTGATCCTTTTGGCCAGTTCAGGAGGCAGCAGGAGACCTTCCTTTTTGCAGACTGATGTCAAAACACTACAAACCTGAAAAAAAAGTTCTTAAAGTTGCTTGAACTTGTCCTGAATCATGCAGTACTATTGCTAATAAATGTATGGTAGGTGACCACTTTAGGTGACCTCTTCTGTGCTGGGCAGAGGAACTCTGATGGCCAGACAACGGCTCCGAATCGGCCCGATGACCCTGGAGGTGGAGTTGGAGCAGAGAATGAGGCGGCAGGTGGCCATGTATTTTTCCATAGTCCGACGCAAAGCATGCTGGGCGTCTTTGGTGAGTCGGTCCACTTCTGTCAGCAACACCACTGTGAACAAAAACATTCACTGAGTATGAGGTCAAATCTAGTATTATGGCTTTACAGACAGATGAGCACGAGGACACCAAATTCTTAAAACAATGGCCACAGACAGACAATAATAGGACATGTAAATTCGACCTTTGAACTCTCTCTGGGTGCTCGACTGAATCTGTTGTGACTGAGCCACAGTTTTAATCAGCTCCTGAATCACCACGCGGTCCTGGTTTCCTGCATCACTGTACAACACAGGACAGACAAAGTTAGATGTTTCATCTACAATTATTCACTTCAAGACCAGATAATAATAAATATTGTAATAATAATAATAGTAACAGATACCTGGGGTTAACTTCTAAGTGATAGTTACTTGCTATTGTGTTAATTTCAATCTTCTTCTTAGATGGAGCCTGGAATAAAAAAAAACAAAACAGGTGACACAGTTGTTGTTTTTAGCTGTACACCAGTATTTAAAGAAATAGATGCATTTGAGCTAAAAAGAAATGCTATATATTAAAAATAGAAGTGAAAATCCAAAATCCAAACATCATCAAATCCTGCATTACACAATAATTCAAAAACAGTTCTGAATATATTTATTTAAAGCTGTATATAATGTAGTATTTCTGCAGTTAATAGCTCTGTCTCTCACCACGATGGTCTGATGTTCGATGCGCAGCTTCTCCACTCCAACTCCATACAGTTCCCTCAGCAGACCCATGATGCGTGTCTTCTTCCCTGCACCTGATGGACCATAAACCAACAAGTGTGGAAAGTCTCCACACTGGACCTGATGTAAAAAAAGGTTTTTGATTAACAACTTTAACAATCACTGACTAATTAATTTCATTTATGTAAAAACATATCTATAAAATGTTCTAGTTTAATAAATCATCTATGACAGTCTTCGACTGCAGTTATTAAAAAAGAAGCACTACTCCTGCACCACTTGGCTTGGCTATTTGAAAAAAAAAATCAAGACATAAGACAAAAATAAATATGAAATAAAATTCAGATGTATTTGGTTCCTACAAAACTGGTTGGTGAGGAGGCTGTGTCTAAAAGACAGAAAAATATCCCAAATATTGACCAAATGATGATGCAATTTAAGTCACTTCTGTTTAGTACCAGACGTTTCAACACATTTAATTTTAAACACAACGGTGCATTAATTGCCGTGTACATCAACCACCCTTCTGCTAAAGGTTCTAACTTTAATATAAAAACAGTACTTTCAGTGTACGCAACTGCATTAGTATAACATAATAAGTAAAGCTGACAGACTTTAAAATCATTTACAACATGTACAACAAAGGTTTTTCTATTTTCAACAAGCTGCTTAAACTTAATAAGCGGATGTACAGTAATCAACTCATCGAAACACGATTTATTACACTATTTAGCAAAGGCCTTTGTAGCTGCTGGACATAAATCGATGAGAATAAATGTTTATTTTTCTTCATACCAAGTTCTTCAGCTGAGTCGCCTGTTCTTTATGAAAGTCCAGTTTACCGAGGGAGGTAGGACGGTATTTGTCAACCCACAGACTCATTTTGGAAGAAGTTTTAGTCTCTGTTTATCGGAGATTGGCGTTGACAGGAACGTTAGCCACTGCTGTTGTTTTTCTCCCGCGAAATGTCTTTTGGACACACTGTGTCGCAATTTCCTGTTAAGCTACGGAGAGTTGGAAGAGACAGACGTGTGAGCGAGCGGTAAATGCGGAAAAAAGAAAATAAAAAGAAAAGAAAATGTAAGTCAAATTTAACTTAATGTACAGAGATTAATGTCGAAGCACGTTATAAAGCAAAAGCCGAGTTGTTCGCTGCTCTTTAACAAAAGTAGAATAAAGAGCAATGCCAGAGGCGGGAAGTCTGGCCCTGAGGCTAATAATTGCAATTGATTAAGCTTTCTATGACTCTCTGGCTCAAACAAGGGAGTTTTATAATTAAACGGAATTACAGTGTGGCTTTTGGTATTCCCGGCTTTATAGTTAAAATATATTTATATTGTAAAATTATAGCTTATTGTGGTTCTTTTTTGTTACCTCTAAAATAATAAATATAAATCAAAAATCCTCTATCAATCTTGGACCCCTAGTTGGCTTTAAGACACGCTGTTATAAGGCAGTTATTTAACATTCTTCAGTTAGCACATTTTAAGAGAAAACTTACCTTAACGTTTATTTATCTACGTCTATTAATAGTATCAATCATTTATTTCCCTGAAATTGTCTCTTTTGTTTACAACATAACAAAGTCTTCTCTTTAACATTGGGCTACACAGACAAAGTCATGCCTCCTGTGTTTTAATGACAACTTAGGACCAACATATGTTCTCCTACATGTCTGGACTGGATAGGTGAGCTGAGTAATATTGAACCACAGCATACCACAAACCTTTCTTTTCTTTTCTGTTATGTATATATATATATATATTCTCATACTATTCTGTTTTTTATGTGTTTATTCATTTTGCTTGCATACTGCCTTCGCTGCTGCAATATGCAAATTCCCCATTGCAGGACAAACATGGATGTTCCCAACCCTTAATCCTATTTACGTCACTATTTGATGTTGCTAAACTGTAGACCACTGGGTATTTGGATATTATTGTGTCTGACAGCAGGATTATTGTGGGATGACAACAGGAAATAAGAGACGCAGCAGAGGGTAAAAAACTCCAGTAGCACTGTAGCCTGTATTGCATTACAAAGATAATATCTTTTCTCCAGTGCAGGAGAATTGGAGATTGCTGTGCTGAAAACAGCAAACACAAACAGCCTGATGCCTCTGAGGAATGTAAGACTTATAACCACATGCCACAGAAACAAAAGTCACTGCACCAGGGTAGCAGAGAAAATACTCTCAGGGTCTTCCTTTGAATAAAAGAAAAAAAAAGCAAATATTAATCAACAATTGCTTTCCTGGTTTTTTTGTTTTTTGTTTTTTAATTTTTTATAGATGTTATGCATGAAAAAAAAACGAGGAGTCAAGACAAAATGACAATGTTTAAAGTTTTAATGTATGTTGACATCTGTGATGTTGTTAAATTTAGTTTTAAATGCTGCATGATGTCTATATCAGTGTGATCTAACATGGCCTTGACTCTGATACAGGTAGCGAGGTGGGCAGGTACCTGTGCAAAGGAATGTACCTTATGGAGCAGCGTGTCTCAGCAGGTCAGTGTTGTCGGAGTTAAATTAATATGCGTTCATCATTACAGCAACGTGACACAGTTGAGCAGCTGAAGCAGCCTGAGGACAGAGAAGCTTATCAAAGACCTTTGGACAAGATAAGTTATGGAGTTCATTCATGAGCATGACTTTGACCTGTGCTGAGCTGCTGGGCTTTCATTAATCAACTTTAATGGTGCTCCACCAGCCAGAGGGGGCATGTGGATTTTTCACATTTCTATGAATTTATCAATTCAGTTTGGTTAGTGTATATTTGTCTATATCCTTATAGAATCCATGCACATAATTTTTATTGAAAAAAATGTTTTTCTCAAGGATACAGGGACATTTCAACCTAGTTGACGTCATTCAGTTTTGCCCTCAACCTTGACCACATCTCTCGTCCCCTTAAGACCTTAAGGGTCAAACCTGCTTCAACAGGTACAATCTCTTTGAAGCAGGACCTCAGTCTTGACTGAAGATGCCCCCCCTAACCTGAAATTCAATGTTTGCTGGGGAATTCCACAGTCTGTTGACAGCTTTGTCAGAACGTTCTTTCTTGTTGATTTGGACTTACAGGTTCTTCACAGTCGTTGACAAACTCACGAAAGTAAAGGAAGATTCAAAGAGGGCCGGTTTGACGCGTTTGAAGCATTACCTCATGTGTTGTCAAGAAATGGGCTTCTCTGGGGAAAAATCCTTCGCCTGGAGCCATGTTGTACAGGAGTGAGTGAGAGGGAGGAATGGGGATGGAGGGTGAGGAGGGGGGTTCAGACCCTGAACATGTTCATCTCAGATGAATGTGAATGTCTGTGTTCCATCATTTTTATAATGAATGTGAATGAATGAATGTGTAACAAACAATCGATAGTTCTTTTGACACACACACTATCAAACACACCTACACACACACACTCACAGTCTCACACACACACTCCTGATACAACAGAAGACACAAACACCTGCCTGTGGATCTTCTGTGTCTTCTACGCTGAGGTAATGGAGGAGGGAAAAACATTCCTCAACCCCTTTTCTGTTTCTCTCCTCCCCCATCGCAGCGTTTTATATATTTTCAGACGTAAAGTCACTCATTTTGTTTTCTCTGTGTCAAACACTTCACCAGCACGGAGTTGCTGGAACAGGGGCCGGGTCTGTGAGGTGCATCCTGGTTCTGCTGCGCTCCACGTTGGACTGTGATGACACGTCTGTCTGGAGAAACATCTGGTATGTTGAAACAAGAATTCTGAATGTGTTATTATAAAAGATATGTTTAAAGAAAGTAAAAAAATGTTTTATTGTTAAAAGAAATAGACAGTCTATTCTTTTTCTTTAGCTGTCTGACCGATGACTGTGAAATGAGTTGTTGTCAAGGGTTTTCTTGGAAACTCATGCAGGCAAAAACCTAAAACTGTCTAAGACTCAGACAAAGGGAATGCCAGGGTTTTAACCACATTTTAAGACTTTCCACTGCAAGTTAGAGAGAGAGACAAAGAGAGCATGTCAGGCGAGGAAATTAGGGTGTGTTGACCACAGCCAAAAATATCCACCAAGGAAAAAAACAATGTGTTTAACACAAAAAGCTTTTTGCTTTAGCCTGACAGTTTCATGCTGTGAGAAAATTTATGAAGATGAACTTGATGCCACTGACCTGGACCAATCACCAACGTAGGTGATGGAACTCCTAACCTCTCTTTGAAGAACAGCCTCTAACTTAAATAACTAAAATAATTCATAATGGATGATGATTTCTTTTGGAGTGATACAATCTCCAATTATCACAATTGTATAAATGAGAATACTCCTTTAATTTAGCACAATTTAAGGATTAACAGTGTGATGTCAGTGTAGGTAATTTTTAAAAAATTAGAAATACTTGATTGTATGTATGTGTATACTTTCCAAGTAGAAGATATCCAAAAGTAGATATATTCTTTATTAGTTTACTTTAAATCTTTATTTTCACTTCTCTAGATTTTCATCTCAGTTAAAGCTCCAACATACATTCTAAAGACTTACATTTATAGACGCACATTTTGAAACATGTCAATATGTCAAATTAAATTATTAAAATTCCAATGTCAAATTCACAAGAGCATCTGTCAGCGTGACGCTCATTAAAAGAAAAAACCCCAGAGCTGTTGATGACAGTGAAGCCTCAACTGTTAAAACATTAATTTCAGCTAAAGAAAAAGCAAACATTAATCATCAGTAGTGACTGTTGACAGAGTTAGGACAATTAATGGAATTATGTCAATTTTTTTTTCATTTGTTGCACAAAATATCTGCACACCTTTTATGAAGAAAAGTGAGTAAAAGTAAAGTGTATACAAAATATTTTAACATACTTTTAATCAGTAATAAATACAACTAGTTTCGCCACACTCTTTGATAATGTCATGAATTTGTCTAAATCAGTGGTTCTCAAACGTTTTAACCTCTGTACCACCTGAGAAAACATTGAGCTCTCTGAGTACTACCATGATGACCAACATTAGAATTCCCCTGCTCGTTCCACGTTCAACATGCAAGTGATCCCATGATTCCGTGCTGCCTGTGTAGTTACATGAGCAACAGACTTACATTGCAGCAAAAAGGTAACTCAGTATGTCTGTAACTCAGTATTAAAGGAATTTCCTCAAGGCTTTTATTTGTGCTAACGTGTGTAACGAAAAATGTCCTCCTCATAGTTTAGCTCCTGAGATGAGCTCACTGGAGAAGAATTCATAGATGACAACTCATTCCCTAAAATGCATGAAGGCTCAGTTGCTGCTTGGCCTGTTCAGCAACAGGCATGTCTGAAGTCTGTGCGTGTCTCTCTGGATGGTCTGCGAGGTCAAGTTCCTCTCCTGACTCACACCTCCATCAGTCAAAGGAGAACCATGTCTGAACCTGTTCGTCTGCTAGACTGCAGTCCTGACTCTGTGGGAACCTACAATCAAAGCTGGGAAGAGAAGGAGGTGGACAGCAGTTCACCCGAGGAGTCGGACGACTTGGACTCACAACAAAGTGGACACTGTGTGGATTTAGATCTGGTACATGAAGAAGAACTCATCATAGAGGAGTCAGACCTGGAGACAGCTGCTGGAGCCATGTTACTTCCCCAAGAAGACACACTGTCTCCTGCGTCCTCCTGTCCTGATGACTTGGTCTCTGCCTTTTCACTGGCTCTGGATAATAGTGGCTGTAGCCCTGTCCCTGCGTCTGTGACTGCATCAGAGGACCCTTCTGTGGACAGCCCCAGAATAGTGAAGCACCAGCCCAGTGTCATTGTGTTCTGTGACTTTGACAAACAGGTGGTTTCGTCCAATAGGAGCTCCGATGGTGCAGAGACCTCCTCTTCCAACACCGGAGAGGCAGAAGGTGACAATGACGAGGATGACGACTTTCCTGAGACATTACAATATAAGGAATTCCTGGTCAGTCGTCGCCGTAGAAACTTGAGCAGGAACAGGAAGTGT